AGAGAAACCCTGTCTCAAAAACAAACAAAAAAAACCCAAAACAAATAAAAATCCCTGAGCTGGACACAGTGCTCATGCCTATAATCCCAGCCTTCTGGAGGTGGAAGCAAGACAATGAGAAGTTCAAGGTTTTTCTCTGTGATATAGTGAGTTTAAGACCAGCTGGGGCCACATAAGACCCCTGTCCCAGAAACCAAAACAGCTAAGTGTGGTGGCACCTGCCTTTAATCCCAGCACCTGAAAGGTAGAGCGTTCAAGCATGATCTATATCGTGAGACCCTGTATGAAAAACAAGCAACCCCCCCCCCCAAAAAAACAGACAATACAATAAAGAAACAGCAGAAGAATGAGTGTCTAGCTCAGATAAGACTGGGTTCCGTCTTTGCGGCCCCATCCCTGAATTCCTCCCATAACCTACTGGCAGGTAGGAACTTCAGGACCCAGCTGGCTGATTTCCCATACGCCCTGCAAAACCAGGACACAGTTTGGCTTGATTTGCCGTTGGCCTTCTGGCCGGGCATGGTTCTCACGCCTGTACCCCTAGCACTAGGGAGGCTGAGGCAGGAGGATGGAATTTCAAGGACAGGCTTGGTGACGCGGTGAGAACAGTTTTGAAAGTGGGAGGGGGGTTCTGGCCTCTCGGTATTTGAACGGTGGGCTGCAGAGGAAGGTGACCAGAAGGGGAAAGTGGAAGCCAGACCCGTGTTTATTCCCTGTGGACTGAAAGCATCCGCCCGTCCCCTGAGCGCCACCTGCAGGTCAGGGAGCCCACAGGTAGGTGTGGCTGCTGGCCCTCACTCTGCCTTCCTCTGCAGGGAGAAGCAGCGGCTCCTGAGTGGGGAAACAGGAACAAGCTCACCCACAGACCGTGGTGGAGGTAGGTCCCTCCCACCTGGGACTCAGGTTTGGTGGCCTCAGCTGCCTCCGGCGGCACATGGGTGAGGGCTGGCAGACCTTTGAAGCCATATGTGCCCTTCCCATGATGCTTCTCTACCTAGCTCCCAAGGACCCGCTGGCCCAGTTGCTTTGTGTGCTGCAAGACCTCCGGGAAGCCCACAGCTCCAGCCTGGCTGGCGCACCACCCAGAGAGCCCCATCACCTTCTAGAGCTACAGACGTGAGGCGTATGCCGAGCCTGGGAGGCGTTTGGAGAACCCTGACATGCTCAGGACCCTTGTCACAGCCATCTCTTCTGGGGAGACCGTAGCCCAGTCTTCTCCATGTCTGTGGGGGACAGTGGTGGCACCTGCGTCCCGACTGCTCCTGTGGTCCCTGTGGCCCGGCTTCTGCACCCAGGAGACCAGGTTGCCCACCTTGCCCTGCCTCACTCCCAGCCATCACATCACCATTGCCCCCCCCCCCGTGTGACCCTCTAGGTCGGGTGTCACGGTTCTCTACCGTCCTTAATAAACCTGCTGTGACTGCTGAGGCTCTGAGAAAGTGACTCCAGGGGACCCTTGATGGGGCTGGGGGTCTGACCAAGGACTGGGTCACCAGCATGGCCTCTCTGCAGTTCCTGCCCTCGCTTTCTTGTTCCATATTACCTAGGGCTGTATCTGTTTAGACTCCCAACTGCTGTCCCAATACTACTCTTCACACCCCTCCATTCTGTAAGTTTGGAGTCTGTCCTGGAACTAGCTCTGTAAACCAGGCTGGCCTCGAACTCACAGAGATCTGCTTGCCTATCCTTTCCAAATGCTGGGATTACAGGTTTGTGCCACCACAGCCTGGCTGATGGTTCTTTCCAGCTGGAAGCAGTCACACACAAAGCCCCTCTGCTCGGGGCATCCTTACAGATGACGCGGCAGAGCTGGGCTACAATGTCCCCTTCCATCTTTGATGGGATACCAGAGCCAAATTGCCAGTGCCTCTGCTCAGGGTTGGAGAGAGGGTTGTGGGGCTGTGATAATGGGGTTAGGAATGGAGTCACTAGGGTGTGAGTGGGTGGCACTGTCACTTCCTCTCCTCGTGATACCCAGGCAACATGTTGTGTTTTTGTGGCTGGAGCTCTCAGTGGCAGGGTGGGCAGGGCCTTCATGCCTTTGAAGAAAGAGAAGCCCAGAGAGTAGCCATCTAGACCAGCAGTTCTCAACCTGTGGGTCGCAACCCTTTAGGGATTGAATGACCCTTTCACAGAGGTTGCCTAAGAACATCAGAAATACCACATATTTACATTATGACTTACAACAGTAGCACAATTACAATTATAAAATAGCAGTGAAAATACTTTTATGGTTCTCATACCACAGCATGAGAAACTGGGTAAAGGGTTGCAGCATCTGGAAGGTGGTTGAGGACCACTGGTCTAGACAGACTCAGCCAGCATCTTCCCTCCAGACGTCCCTAAATGAAGAAGCCTCTCCACAGCAGCACCCTGGCTGCAGTTCTGCTCCTGCCACAGAGGGGAGAGTGGTGTATTGCTCATATTATTTTCTTCTGGAAGAGTTAAGACAGGGTTTGTCACATGACCATGATAGCCTCAAACTCATCAGATAACCAAGGATGACCTTGAACTCCTGATCTTTCTGCCTTTACCTCCAAGTGCTGGGGTCAGGGGTGTGAGCCATGCGGTTTATACAGAGCTGGGCAATAAACCTTGCTAGAGCCTGCTGATGAGTCAACTGGGGTACCTGGAGGGGGCGCGAGGATCGAGGAAATGACAGATGAAAGAAACCGAGACAGAGACACAGGATAGATCAGGGAGGTCTGCTGGCCAATACTAAACAGCCCAGAGTTTATTTCAGAACCTGCTTTTCCACAGATAAAGAGCAGAGAGGGCAGAGAAGGAGCGGTACCGCTAACCACCTCTCTCAGCAGCTTGTGCCTTAGTAGACAATGTGTTCTTCCCTATGAGCTTACTCAGGACTTTCCCACAGCTCTCAAGGACACTGGAGCAGGCAAGCTTGAACTCAAATGACTTTTAAGTCAGAATGGACTCCAGATGGAAACCGAGTCACTCGTGGGCTCCCACAAAACCAAGGGCTCGATGTGTGCTCAGCAAGCTCTCTCCCAGTGGACCCACAGCTCTGGCCCCGTTAGCTCTGAGGCAGTATCTCATCTAGTCAGGCTGGCTTCAAACAACTGTCCAGCTGAGATCTTGAACTCCTGATCCCAGGGACTCCATCCCGACAGTGTTGGCTTTAAAGGCTTAAGCCACCATGCCTGAATTCAAGGACTATGCTCAAAACTCACACTCAGGCTGGCGGTGTGGTTCAGTGGTAGGACACCTGCCTGGCATACACAAGACCCTGGGTTCCATCTCCAGGGTCGTAAACAGTTCAGCCAATACAAACAATAACTAAGTGGCTACTGGTCAGGGCGTGGCCTGGTTTCTCATCGTCTCAGCTCTGGTTTTCAGGGCGGCCTGAAGAAATCCTTCCCATGAGATGACTCCTCCTCATGGGGTGGTCTGTCTTCAGGGGTCCCCTGTTCCTAGAAATCAAGGTAACTACACGCTTTGGGCTGTGACTGGAGAACCCTGCATGACTTCTGCTCTTCCTCCTCGTCTTCTTCTGAATTTGAAGGGACAAAAGCTGAGCAAGATGCCTGCAATATCTGTGCTTTCTGCCTTCAAGGCAGATGCACTGGGCTAGCTGTGACTAGGTCTTAGGTAGACCCTCCAGGAATAGCATGTCACCTTCAAAGTAGATGGGCTGGGTTGGCTGTCACTGGTCCTTAGGTAGACCCTCCAGGAATAGCATGCCCATGCGCACAGGCAGGGGTCTGTGACACAGTGTGAGGGGCTCCCAAGCCCTCTGGTACCTGACATTGTCTTCACCTGTTTCCTGCGGCGCCGCCATCATCCATGCCACACACTGGTGCCTCAGTGCTCACAATACCAGTGGATAGGGTGGCTCCCGCCTGCGATTTCAACGCCTGGGAGACTGAGCCGCTAATAGTTACTGTTCTTGTTGTGTCTACAAACCTGACAGAAGCATCTTAAGGGCACAGCTCATGGTGGGGATGTCATAGCCACAGGAGTGCCAGGCAGCTGATCCCATTGCCATTGGCAGCCAGGAAGCAGAACGAGATGGCTTCCTTTCTTCTTTTAATGAGTCTGAGACCTTAGCCTCTAGTGTGCCGTCACCCACATTAAAGGTAAGTCTTTCTTCCTCAGTTAAACCTGTCTAGACTCTCACAGACAGACCCAGAAGTTTTGTTTCGTTTTTAACTTTACATTGATGCTGTACACAGGGAGGTCAGAGGAGTTCTTCTCTCCTTCCACTGCATGGGTCCTGGGGATTGAAACCAGGTCGTCAGGCGTGGTGACACTACCTTCACCCAGTGGGCTGTCTTGCTGGTTCCACCTAGAGGTCTGTTTCCACAATGATCTTAAATTTCATCCGGCTGACAAGAAACATCGTGGAGGCTGAAGAAATGGCTCCGCAGTTAAGAGCCTTACTGCTCTTCAGGGGACTAGAGTTCGGTTCCCAGCAGCCACGTAGGGTGGTTCACACGCACCTGTAACTCCAGCTCCAAAGGACCCAACCCTCTTCTGGTCTCCAAAGGCACCTACGGACAAGTGCTATACAAATCTTTAAAAATAGAAAACACTAACTGCCACAGAGACCGCTGAAAAAACGGAGAGGGGCCAGGATTTCATCGTGTTTTTAGTTATCTGTGTGCCCAAGAGAGAATCCACTGGCACCCCAAGCTCTTCCCCGACCTTTACACATTTTCCTGCTCTCCTGAATCTCATCCAGCAAACTTCACAAGGACGCCGGTGTCGACCCAGCCGGGGGTCCTGCAGCAGCAGCCCACACAGGCGACTTTACACACACAGCTCCGACGCCAGCTCAGGGCGGACCAGTGAGCCAGTTGCAGGTGGCTCAGCCTTCCCCGCGCAGGCACAGGTGCCCAAAAGCGGCCGGGTGACAGCAACGGACCGAACTAGACTGGCGCGTGCGCAGCACAGCTAGCGGTCTCCCTCGGCCCTGCCGGTGGGCGCCTGCGGAAGGTCATCCGGTCCACCAGGGGGCGCGGAGCCAGGCGCTCACTCTGATTGGCTGCGGCCGCGTGACCCGGAAGTGGGAGCGCTTCGGGGGCTCGGTGTGGTGACGGCGGCTGCGGGTAGGAGTCTCAGAGCCAGAGCGCGTCGCTAGGATGAACGCTCCTCCGGCCTTCGAGTCGTTCTTGCTCTTCGAGGGCGAGAAGAAGTAAGTTGGCCGTCAGCCCCGGCGGAGCGCCGCACAGCTCCCGCCCGGGGGAAGCGAGGCGGGCTGTGCTTTGCGCATTCTGCCCCGGGCGCGTCCGCCGAAGTAGGCGGCGGTGCGAAGTCTCGCCGAGTGCGTCCATTTTGCAGTGGGAAAACTGAGTCCCGGGGACACTGAGTCCCTTGCTCCAGACACTTAGGAAGTGGCTGGGACTGTATTCGAACCCAGAGCGTCAGGCTCCAAAGCCCTTTCCCTCTGGGCATTCTCTTCACTAGTCTGCAACAGCATCATCCATGCTACAGTGAGGGCTTTGGAGCTCACGACCCGCTGGTGGCGAACGCCTGTAATTCCAGCACTGGGCCACTGAGGCAGGAGGATCATGACGGCAGCGGTGAAGGGACGGAGTCACAGCTGCCTTCTCACTCAGCAGCCTGGGGATTTCCCCTAGATTTTTTCAGGGATTCGTGGTTTCCCCGCTAAAAAGAATGTTAGGACTCGACGGTTTAATGAAGTAGGACTGGTGATTTTTATCAACGATTATATATATTATTTTTTCCCCCAAGATTCTGTAAGTTTGGAGTCTGTCCTGGAACTAACTCTGTAAACCAGGCTGTCCTTGAACGCACAGAGATCCGCTTGCCTCTGCCTCCCGAGTGCTGGGATTGAAGGCGTGCGTCACTACCGCCTGACTTGTTTCTGGTTTTTCGAGATAGGGTTTTTGTGTGTAACAGCCCTGGCTGTCCTGGAACTTGTTTTGTCGACCAGGCTGACCTGCCTCTGCTTCCCGGGTGCTATCATGCCCAGTTGCATGTAGTTGTCTTAATGGTAACCAGAAACACCCTTTTGATGACTCAAAAGTTTTATCTCAGAAGGTTGCTAAAAACCTTTCTTTCCCGAGTGCCCCCGTTTTTTTTAAATTATGTGCATTTATTTATATTTTATGTGCATTGGTGTTTTGCCTGCATGTATGTCTTTGTGAGGGTGTCAAGTCCCTGGAACTGGAGTTACAGTTTTAAGTTGCCATGTGGTGCTTTTAACCTCTGAGCTATCTCTCCAGCCCTGGGTACTCTCCTTGGAAGTCTTCTTGGGCTAAAGTGAGTCCCTATCTCAAAAAGAAATGTATGGCGGTAGACCACAGTGGTAGATTGCTTGCCCAGCACACACAGGGCTCATTTCATCCCTGTGTCAGTCAGCCAGTAATGCAGTTGAAGGAAATTCTCTGGGTTTGTCTGTACAGTGCGGTGTATACTGCAGACCGGTGACTGACCTCGCACTTCTAAGAGACCTCTGTGCAGGGTTTTGTGTTTGACTTTGCTAGCTAATTCAGCCTCCCTTGAGGGCATGTTCTCAGCTGAGGATCCTGTTGGTGCCCCATCGGCAAGAGCGTTTGGTCATGTCTGCAAACATTTCTGGTTGTCCCAGGGCAGTTGCTATTGGCATCTGGTGGGCAGAGGCAAAGGATTCTATTAATGACCCTTGGTGTACTAGACAGCTTGTCAGAGAAGAGCGGTCAGGTCTAAGCTGTCCATGTGCACAGCTGGCGAGATGGCTCAGGCACAGGCGCCCACAGTCAGGCCTAATGCCTGGAGTTCAATGCCCGGGACAGGATGGTAGAAGGAAAGGACAATTTGCAAGTTGTCCACTGATCTCACACAGGCGTGGACAAAGGAAATACATATTTCTGTATTAAGTTTGAAATAGTCTGCTTTAGAAAAAAAAAAGCAATGCTTAGTCAGGTAGTGGTGACACACGCTGTTAATCCCAGCACTTCGGAGGCAGAAGCAGGCAGTTCTCTGTGAGTTCAAGGCACAGCCTGGTCTACAAAGCTAGTTCCTGGACATCCAGGACTACATCGAGAAACCCTGTCCTGGGGGGTGAGGGAAGAAGCAATCCCATGAGGGTCCCTGGTGTATAGATAATGGGCCATCGTGACGTAGGTAAAGAGGGGTCCTTGTTTGGTCTTTGTTGTGCTGGAGATAGAACCCAGGGTCTAGCCCCTGCTGGGTTACTGCTTTATCACTAAGCTACAATTTAGCTTTTTTTAAATTTTTTTTTTCTTGGTTTTTCGAGACAGGTTTCTCTGTGGTTTTGGAGCCTGTCCTGGAACTAGCTCTTGTAGACCAGGCTGGTCTCGAACTCACAAAGATCCGCCTGCCTCTGCCTCCCAAGTGCTGGGATTAAAGGCGTGTGCCACCACCGCCCGGCTGCTTTTTTTAAATTTTATTTTATTGTTTTCTTTTGGTTTTCCAAAACAGGGTTTCTTTATGTTGCCCTGGCTGTCCTGGAACTTGCTCTGTAGTCCAGGGTGGCTTCAAAGTCACAGAGATCCTCCTGCCTCTGCCTCTAGTGCTGGGATTAAAGGTGTGTGCTACTACTGTTTGGCTCACTCCAGCTCCACCCCCTACACACACACTTTAAACATTATTGATGAGGAGATGGTTCATTGGGTAATAGCTCAAAGCATTTACTGAAGACTCAAGTGTGGATCCCCAGAACCCGTGGCACACTTGTGCGGTCTTCCAGTGCTCCTCCAGGGACATGAGACGTCGGACAGGAGGGTCAGCTACCATGGTGTATCCAGGGGCAAAGAGGAAGGCAAGGATGATTGAGGGTTTTTCTCTGCTCTCCTGCCTCAGTTGCTGGGATTACTGGTCTGAACTATCAGGCAGGCCTAGCTTGTTTGTTTGAATGAGGAGTTGGTAAGTATGAAACCCAGAGCCTCACACATTTGAGGTAAATGGTCAACCACCAAGCCATCCCAGAGCTCTCAGAGGGTCCTTTAGGGGTGAGCAGATTGAAGGGCTTCCAAGGGCTGGACCCCATAGCTCAGTGGTAGAGGATTTGCTTAGCCTGCTTGAAGCCCTAGGTTCAATTCCTAGTACCGCTGGATAGTAGGGCTTGCAGAATGATGGCCTTGGGTCCACCTTGAATTGTTGGGGGGGGGGGGGTTGGAGGCTAGGGGTCTCCTGGTTCTTTTTGTTTTTTGTGTGTAGCCCTGACTGTCCTAGGATTTGCTCTGTAGGCCAGGCTGGCCTGGAACTAGAGCTCTGCCTGCCTCTACTCTCCAAGTGCTAGGATTAAAGGTGTGTGGCCGCCAGCACCCAACTCTTTTCTGTCTTCTAGGAAAGAATTTAGTCAAGAGCTAGTTTAAGGCAGCTAATGCATATGTGGGAAAGAGCCATGTGTCTTGGTTTCTGGGGTAGTGGGAACAGCCCAACTGCAGTCTCAAGGATGTTTGACCACAAAGGGGGCATTCTGACCCCCCCCCAGGGGACGTTGATTGGAGGATCAGTGCCAGCATCTCAAGGGCTGGCTGGATGTGGGCTCAGGAAAGCAATCTTGCTCAGCTTTTGCCTGTCTCTTTCTAGAATCACCATTAACAAGGACACTAAGGTGCCCAATGCTTGCTTGTTTACCATCAACAAAGAAGACCACACTCTGGGGAACATCATCAAATCGTAAGTCCCAGACCAGAGGCCCTGGGGGTTGGGTATCACAGGGCTCTAAACTGAGCATGTGTCCTGTAACAGTCTCTCCTCAGCTTGCTGATACATCAGGGCAGATCCTTTCTTCCAGCCTGGCACTGAGTTCTGCTCACACGGGTCTTGTGTAGTGTAGGCTGACTCACTACATAACAGAGGATGACCCCATTAGGGACTCCTGAGCCTGCCTGTACCTTCCCATTGCTGGGGCCCTGAGCTTCGTGTTGGCTTATTTGTGTAAGACTTTGCAGGGACCCTCAGCAATTGCCTCTTGGTCTTTTGGCTAAAATCAAGTTCAGGGGACTCCAGCAAAGCTGGTTTTCATTTTAACGGGCATCAAGAGGTCAACAGGTGATGAGTATTGTGGCAAACACCTATAATTGCCACACTTGGGGGGGCAGAGGCAGGCAGAGCTCTTCCGAGTTCAGGGTCAGCCTGGTCTACATAGTGAGCACCAGGACAGGTCTACATAGAGACCCCATTTCAAAACAAAAAACAAAAAGCCAGTAGGCGCACCTCCTACATTTGATGGTTTGCTGAAGCCTGCAGCTCCTTTTCTTTATCTTCCAACTTTGTAAAAACTTGTGGTTTTTCCCTGAGTGTGAGTGCCAGCGCCAGCACCTTTTTACGTCAGACGCACTGAGTTCTTTGGAGCTGGAGTCACAGACAGCTCCCACCTCATAGGTGCTGAGAACTGCCTTGGGTCCTCTCCAAGGGCAGTGTATACAGACACTCTTTAAGTTAAAAACAAAACAAAAAAAAATATAAAAACTTAGGAATGTTTTGCCTACATATGTCTACCACATGTGTATGCCTATTACCCGTGAAGGTCAGAAGGCCCTAGAGCCCCTGGAACAGGGATACAGGTGGTTGTTGGCTGCCACATGGGTGCTGGGAACCTCTTAATTGCTAAACCCCTTCTCCAGCCCAACCTGCAGCTTAAAGAATAAACGTACGTGTACATGCCTTTAATCACAACACTCAGGAAGCAAAGGCAGGTGGGTATCTCTGAGTTCAAGGCCAGCATGGTCTACAGAGTGAGTTCTAGGACAGCCAGAGAAACTCCGTCTCAAAAAAAAACCCCAAAAATGAATGTATATTTTGTGAGTGTGGTGTCTGCGTAGGCGAGGAGAGGTGGTTGGATCCCTGGAGCTGCAGTTACAGGCAGTTGTGAGCCACACGACAGGGGTCCTGGGAACCAAACCCAGATTTTCCACAAGAGCATAGTGCTCCACCACTGTGTGGTTGCTCCAGCTCAACCTGTAACTCTTCAAGAGTGTGTTTCCTGCACATAGGCCTGTGTAGCATAGGGTGCCCTTGCATGCCATAAGTGTTGGATCCCCCTGGGACTCTTAGTTGTGAGTTACCATGTGAGAATCAAGGTTCTCTGGAGGAGCAGCTATTGCTCCAACCCCGTTCTACAACTCTTCAGATGTATGGCAGGGGCCAATTAGAGCCCGTGCCCTTAGGTTCATTTCCCTCAGCTTTGTGGGAAACGGCCATGTATATGGATGCTGCCTGGGGATCATCAGAGCCTGGCCCTCTCTTCCCACCTGCTTGCTGTACCTAGGAATGGGGCCTTGTATTCTGGTCGCTTCAACCCTGGCCATGTTTTGGCCTAGGTGTGCTCCACAGGCACTTTCACAGGTTCTCAGCTTCTGTGATGAAAGATGCCATCACAAACTGGCTCCCAGCCAAGGGCCTTGGTCTCGTAGATAACATGGTTTCCATATGGCCTTAAGCCCCTTTAACTTGATTTTCCCTCCCTTAGTGCTGGGCAGGAGCCTCGAGCCTCATGTCTGCTAGTACTCTACCACTGAGCTACATCCCCAGCCCTCTGTATTTTTTAAAGATAATCTAAGTTGGCTAAGGTGGCCTTGGGCTGACGGGTTTACACCACACCACCATTCTCACCCATTTACACTTGGGGGCAGGGAGCTACTCTGGTTAGAAAGCCTGCCAGGGTCGACCTCCCTCACAGTCTCTGTTTCTCAGACAGCTGCTGAAGGACCCACAGGTGCTGTTTGCCGGCTACAAAGTCCCTCACCCCTTGGAGCACAAGATCATCATTCGTGTGCAGACCACCCCAGACTACAGTCCCCAGGAGGCCTTCACCAACGCCATCACAGACCTCATCAGTGAGCTCTCTCTTCTGGAGGAGCGATTCCGGGTAAGGAGCTGGGCTGCATGGTTCAGCAGTAGAGGGGCAACCCTCCCACCAGAACCCTCCAGTGAGGGGCTGTCATCAAAAATCTCCCCTCTTTGCCACTAGCTTCTCTAGGTCATAAAGCCTCTGAGACTGTTCACCACAGGGTAGGAGGCAGTTATCAGGGGCTCTCAGTGTGAGTCACACCTTTTGAGGTTTTCACCTGGCTGGGCATGTCCCACTTGGCTCCATCCCCAGCCCTCAGCAGGCCGGTGGCTCAGAGCAGGGTAGGTAGAATCTGCTGAGGCACCCAGAGCCTTTGGTGACTGGTCTGCCTCATGTATTCTCTGGAGTACAGGTTCCTGGCCACACAAGCAGGGGACACTGGGGTCAGTTCCAGTGCAGTCACTGCCTTTGTCTTCTCTCTTCAGGTGGCCATCAAGGACAAGCAAGAAGGAATTGAGTAGCGGCTAAAAGGAGCATTGCCTACTGGCTGTAAGGCTGGTGCCTGCACCCTCAGGGCCTTCTCAGAACCCCATGATGACAGGCACTCGGCTCTGTAGCTGGACCCTCCTGCTCTGTACATAGACTGTGACTTTTCTAATAAAGTATATAGCGGGCCCCACGACTGCAGCGTGTGTGCTCTCAGACTTACTTGATGGTGGCAGGTGACCTATCGGTCACACAGAGGCCCTAACCACAGGCTAAGGCAGAACTTGGGGCTGCTGGGGAGGCGGAATGGCGAAGCAGGTTTTGGATCTCTGCAGCCTCAGCTGCTGGGCATGCCTGAGGTAATCCAGGCAGGAACCCCAGCGAGGCCTGTGTTTCCACTCAGCTTCCACCGGCCTCCAGTCCACAATAGAGAATTTAATAAAAATACTCATTGGTACAAATTCCTCTACCACTAGCCCCAAGTTAATAAGCCGTGTCCCTGGTCCACTGCTCTGGGCAAGCTAGTAACTCCTCCAGATGGACACGATGTTGGAGTCCGTCAGAGCAGTGAGGTAGGTAAAGGCTGCATTGGCCACTACTGTGTTTATCATGGTCTTGCTCACTGGTTGGCCCAGTGCCATTGGCTGAGGCCACTTGAGGATCTGAGGGGAAAAAAGAAGGCACTAGGCTCCTGCCTACCCAACAGCAGCCCAGGGTACTAGGAAGAGTGTGCAGGGTGCCCAACAGTACCTGGGTCGGGGCCTGCAGAGTTGTTACTGGTGGAGGCCGCTGCTTTAGCAGATGTTCAACATCATAGATCCACACACTGCCTTCCTCATCTCCACACAGCACGAGGTTTTTGTCTGCCAGGACAAGTGGGGGCCTAAGATGGGTCCGGTTGGGATGGGAAGAGGGGATGCCCACCAATGGGGTAAGCAGGCTCACCGGGACAGGTGCTGAGTGAAAAGTAAGCCAAATTGGTGGATGACCACTGCAGCCGGGCCAGGAGGACCACAGGCAACACAGACTGACTGCCCCGGCCTGCCCATGTCTGCCTCCAGCTCCACAGGTAGATGGTGCCCTGTCCACTCCCTTTGGAGGCTGCAGGGAGAGGAGATGTGAGCCCAGGCCGGCTGTCGCCACAACCTCCCTGCTCTCCAACGGGTGCCTCAGCACCCTGAGAGTGAAGTCCCAGCCCAAGCTGTCCCAGCCGGGCTCACTCACCCACAACATCTTCGTTCACAAAAGCCAGCCCGTCCACTCTCTGTCCCTCAGAGTCCTCAGAGAAGATGAATTCCACTTCACACACCCTGCAAAAGACATTAGCCTTACCCATGCACAGCCATGTGCTCACCCAAGGGGCTGCCTGGTCCTTGGCCCAGAGACCTTTAGCTTTGTCCTGAAGGGGAGCCACCTACTGGGGGTGTGAGTAGTCACAGGAGTGGGAGCACAGGCTCACAGGGGAAGACCCAGTACTGCAGGCCAGATGCTTTCAGTGCTGCTCCTCCTACTCCAACTAAGGACAGCAGCTCCGGAAAGGAGGGGCTCACTGGCTCAGGAAGTAGATTGCTATGCAAGTTTGGTGCCCCAAATTTGACCTCCAGAACCCAGGTCAAGGTGGAAGAAAACCCAACTCCAGAAAGTCCTCTAACCTCCACACACGCCCACATACACACTCAATGGCAAAACCCAAAACCTGATCTGTATAGTGAGTTGCAGGCCATCCAGGGCTACATATTGAGACCTTGTCTCAAAAAAGCTGGGTGTGGTTCCATCTGGGAAGACATGGGCTTCTGGCATCTTCCCAGAGGGCAAATTCTGGCTAGGACATCCCAGGATGCTTGAGACCACAAGGCATGGGGGAGGTCAGAATCTGGAACTGCGGATGTAGCTAAGGTAACTCCCAAGTATGACAGATGAACGGGGAACCTATGTCCACCAAGCAGCGGGATGCCACATCGGCATGCTTCTGCTGCCCCCCTGAGAGCAGTGAGTCCTGTCAGCACCCCGAAATCCTTTTGGGGCTGTTCCTTATGCTGAGACTGCCACTCAAAGCATAGGCAAGTGTACTTAAGAGCTCAGGGAGCGGTGCTTGCTGCCAGTCCCTGGGAACCACATGGTGGAAGGAAAGCACCAACTCCTACATGTTCTCTGAGCTCCACGTGCATACTGTGGCATGTGTGTCCTGCTACACAAGTAAATCAGTAAGTGTAATAAACATTTACAGGAAGGAACTTGCACCTCACACTGCTGTTTGACTCTGGTCTCAAAGAAAGAATGCTAATGAAGATGGACCTGGAGAACAGGCAGTGTCCCTGGGTCTCTTTCTTTTTCCTAATGTTGCTACACTGTATGGCACACACCTTTAATCCCAGCACTTGGGAGGCAGAGGCAGGCAGATCTCTTGAGTTTGAGGTCAGCAGTCAGGGCTACACAGAGTCCTGTCACCACTCACACACACACACACACACACACACACACACACACACACAAGCTAAATAAGGCCAAGATGGCTTGGGTTGACAACACCACACAAACCTTGTGATGAGTTGGGGGGGGTCCCTGGAACCATGTAAAGATGGATAATATACTAACTAGAGATTGCTCAAGTGAGGGGAGGCAGGAGGCAGCTCCCCCAAGGCCTCCTAGATTGCTGCCTCTCTGGATTAAGGACAGTTTTAATATTCAAACCCCATCTCTACTCATGGGCTTCTGTGACAGAACAAACCAAATTCTCCTGATACCATAGCCCACAAAACTCAGTGCCGACTGCCTGGGAGCCTCACTCCGTGACATTTCCATCTGCCAAGCCAAGGTGGTCCATGAACTTTCCCCACTCCTGGCTAACTGCACACTGCTGTCCTCTGGCAGCTCCAGGCTCTCTGCAGAGCAGTTCTGTCAATCAGTCACCAGGCTGCATCCTCAGGACATGCCCCTTTAAAGTTACTCCTAGGGCCTTGTTTTCCACACAAGAGCTCCTGCAGCCCAGACTAGCCTCCAACTCTCACAGAGCTGAGGATGACCTTGAACTTCTGATGTTCTGACCCTCTCATTAGCTGAGATAGCAGGCACAGGCCAGAACACCTGGTTTATGTGGCACTGGGAGCTCCGTGCATCTCAGCGCTCTACTGACTGAGCTCCAGCCCCAGCCCTCATATTTACCGCCACGTCCCCCTAGGACAGGAACCCTATGCTGAGTGGTCTCAGGTCTTTCCACATGGGCAGATAGCCACAAAGCATCATCAGACTTGCTTCCCTGCGTACATCCTATCTCTACTTCCACAATCCCTGGGCTACCTCACTGCCTCTTCCTCACAGATGGGGACACCATGCTAGCGGGAGGGTCACACTGCTGAGTGACAGGACTGGGGCTCAGGCAGTTGTCTGTGATGTGGTAATTAAGAGAACAGCCCCTGAACAGAGCTTCCAAGGCAGCCCAAGAAGCACTGTGATGTGCCCAGGGACCCCGTGAACCCATGACACCCAGCTTGGGGGCCAAGCTTTCCAGACATTCCCGGCATCCTCACCTCTGCTTCTGGGGCTGATCGAGCCGAACATCCCAGCAGCAGCAACCTCCCTCGCAGCCAGCCAGCAGCATGTCATCTGGGCAGGAGGCCACAGGGCAGAGGCGCAAGGGGGTAGAGCTGCAGCTGAGCACCAGGAGCTGGCTGCCAATGCGGGTATGGAAAACCATAAGCTGTGGGTTGCAACCGTCACCCTCGGCAGCCCGCCCATCTCCAGGCCCGTCTACAGCCTCACCTAGCCTGGAACTTATATTCGTGGTCGGGCACCCCAATGTCCCAGAGGATGATCCGTTTGTCGTAAGAGGCAGCTGAGGAGGGATGGAGGAAAAAGGTAGCCCCAAGACGTTCCCGTCCCTCTTGCAGGCTGAGTCTGTGGGGTGGGTCCCTCAATCAACTAATCACAGGCAGGAAGAGCAAGCAGACTGTGGCTAGGACGAGAACTCAGGAGCCACAACCCCACAGTCCTGCCTGAACCCAGTGTGCACAGCATCACAGCCGTCTGTGCAGCAAGCACATCTGCCACCTTCGCTGGCTCACCACACCCCAGGGGCAGGGTTATCTCCCCTGATCCCAGGCAGAGAAACAGGAGCCTAGGTTGCTAGGAAACTTCAAGGCCAAATAGCATGCTGGAATAGAGATCCTGGTTGGCCAAGAAGCTAACTCACATCTGACCAAAGCCATCTGTGCCCAGCATCCTGTGAACCCCGTCACCCCCAGAAAGAGACACGGGGCACCAGGGCAGAAAGCCTACAATGCTGAGGGTCTTACTGAAGAGGTGGCTCTCGTGGGTGGGGCTGAAGCAGAGGGTGGCAATGGCCTTCTTATGGGCCCGGATAACACTGCAGCAAAAGCCTGCACGCACGTGGAGCAGCCGGACCATGCCTTGCAGGCCTGCAGCAGCCAGCATGTTCCAGCGCTTCTTGTGGCCTGCCTGTGTGACCACCGTCAGGGCTGTCCAGGCCACTGAGAAGAACTCCTGACAAGGGGGTGGGAGGAAAAATGGCGGTGAGCAGGGAATGAGGGGCAACCTGCTTGGAGGGCTCACCTGGGGCAGCAAGTCTCAACGACAGAGAAAAGCTCCCAGAGGGCTGTGAGCGGCGAGGAGCTGGGGGAAGGGCTCAGAGGCAGAGCACTCACAGTGGGACCGAGACCCTGGGTTCCATCCCCACCAAAATAAAGTCACGAGGAACAGAGTGAGGGTTTCTGTCCCAGGACCCAGCAGTCTTGGAGAAGAGGGCCTGGCACTCACCTCGCCTGGCACCCTGTATTTATGGAGCACGATGCCTGTCTGGCAGTCTATCACGCAGACAGCTTCTCCGCCACATGTGGCCACAGTCTGGGACGTGGCCCCCGAGTGCCCTGTTTTGTGTATCAGCCACATAAACATCTTTCCTGCAAAGTTCTTCCCTAGAGTCCCTTTTCCTGGCCTCCACGACAATTTCACTATTATTATTATTAGAGGTAAGGGGCTAGAACCCAGGACCTCACACATGATAGGTAAGCGCTCTACCACTATACTACATCCATGGCCTTTTTACCTTTTAAAAAAAAACAAAACAGTGGTTGTGTACCTGTGTCATGTGGGGGTATGTGCACATGAGTGCAGGTACCCACAGAGGCCAGAAGAGGGCATCAAATTCCCTGAAGCTGGCGTTACTGGAAGTTGTGAGCCGCCCATGGTGGGTACTAGGAACCAAACTTCAGTCCTCTACAAGAGCAGCAAGCACTCTCAGCTAGTGTCTCTCCAGACCTGCCTTTTTCTTACTTTGCAACAGGGTTTCTCTGTGTGTAGCTCTGGCTGTCCTGGAACTCATTCTGTAGACCAGGCTGGCCTCGAACTCACAGAGATCCTCCTGCCTCTGCCTCCAGGCTGCTGGGATTAAAGGTGTGCGCCACCACCCACTTCCAGCCCTTTCTTTCTACCCTAAAGCCAATCTCACTGAATTTCCCAGGGATCTTTTAATCTGACTCCCACTGAGCATCACTGTGTGGCCCCAGCTTCCCACTGCCCATCAGCCCCAGCACGCACCCTCCTCCCGGGCAGGCTCAAAGGCACAGGCCCACAGCTGAGTCTCCAGATCCTTCGGGCTGTTGTTTTTGCTATGGCACTGCAGGAAGTGCAGGGGTTCCAGGCGTAGGGCAGCCTGTGGGGGTACAAGCGGTTACAGTTGCCACTTGGCCTGCTCCCTCCGGCACCCTCCCTCTGACGACCGAAGAGCTTACCTGGCTTCCATCAGACTCCACAGGTGTACCCTCCATCTGGGCTGCTGAGGAGAAACACGCTCGCTTGGTGGAAGGGAGGTCAAGCGGGACGTTATCTGGCCGTTTTGAGGCCACTGTTCCGGCCTGTGGAATGTGGGGCACTTGTATCCATGCCCCAGGGGTTTCCTCCCTTGGCTACAGGCTCAACTACACCCTTCAAAAAAATGAAGTGGAAAGAACCGAGCCACTGTCAGAGGGGAGCTTGGCTTGTGTTTAGGACTGGACACTTAAAATGTTCTCCAAGGGTCGAAGGTTGAAAAGCTGCATCACCAGCCTGCAGCCCCACTCAGTACAGTGCAGGGGAAAGGACTTAGCACTGGGAGGCGTCCCTTTGAGGGGACACAGGGACACTGGCTGCCACGATGTTCACACAGATTCTTACTCTGGGAGCTCACACTATCGACAGCCTTGGAGCCGAGCAGCTATGGACTGAAACAATGAGCCAAAACGAACCTTTCCTTTCCATGAGCCGCAGCAAGGGCTAGCTAACACACTCAGGCATCACCTGAGCTCACGCAGAGAGCCTCTGCATCCAGCTCACCTGAGCTCATGCAGAGACCCTCTGCATTCAGCTCCCCTGAGCTCACGCAGAGGCCCCCCTCTGTTCCAGCTCCCCTGAGCTCACGCAGAGGCCCCCCTCCGTTCCAGCTCAGGAGGGCCCAGTGGCCCTCACAGCTGGGTGGAAACATACTCACCCTGAGCTTGGAGGCAGCTGCAGCCTGTGGAGGCTCCTTTGGTATATCCTTTGTTATGTTGGCTTCCTGTACCCTGGTCCCACCTGAGGTCACCAGTTTCTCGGCAATCATCCGCACCTGGGTGGGGTCAGGCCTTTAGCAGGCTGAGCAGTCTCTGGTGCCCCTAGCCTCTCCTCATCTGGTCCCATCCTCTGAGCCATCTCACTCCTCTCTGTCCCCCAATCCATCAGAGTCAGGGACGTCCCCAGGACAACCAAGAACCAGGGAAGCCAACCTCCAGCAAAGTGTCCCCCAGTGACACACCCGCCAATGCATGAACTCGCTGAGAGACTCGGGGCCGTAGTGCACATCCCTGACTGCAGACCTCACGAAGTCAGCCTGGAGTTTGTCAGCAGCTTCCTCTTCAGGGCTCACAGTGGCCATGAACTTCTCCCAGTGAGCTGTGACCTGGCAGAAGAGGGACCCGATCCAGGGCCAGTCCAGCCTGGGTCTCCCGGCCACACACAGCACCGCCACCCTATCTCTTTCTGGGCACAAAGTGTGTTGACCATACCAGTTTCTGGAAACTTCTGCAAGCATAGCCTCTTATTCTCTACTAGCAATACCTAAGTCACATGAGTTGAAACCAACCTGGTTCACCTGGGCAGACTGGTAATTCCAACACTTGGGAGGCTGGGGTGTCAGAGTCCTAGGTCATCTGGACTATATAGTAAGACCTTGTCTCAAAAAAAACCCAGCTGTTCTAGCCTCCTGGCTATACGCCTTGGAGACAGGGCTTCCAAATGCGAGAAGCAACAGAACCACTCAACACACCAGACTTGCAGCTGTCAGGGTAAGATCTCTGTTACACACACCCTAAAAATCCACTTCTGTCCCCCCTCAATGTCCTGCTGACGTGGCCAAGGCCCCATCTCCATCAGCTTCCCATCACCCTTACCCGGTTGGTCAGCTCCCGATCGAGGTTCTCCACCTGTGAGCAGGTGGAGGCTGCGTCCTTGCCATTGACCTTACGCAGCTTGGGCAGGAGAAAGGAGACTTTCAAGTTGTCATTGACCTAAGGGTGGAGGAATAGTTGAAAGGCAGGGGTAGCGGTGCGGGCCTGGAATCCCAGCATTCAGGGAGACTGTTCTCCAAGGTTGGATGCTAGTCTGGGATACACAGTGAAGTGGAAGCTGGCCTAGGTTATAAAGCAAAATTTTTCCTCAAACTAGCAAAACAACAAAACCCCAAACAGGGTGGGTACCCAGCCCAGTTGAGGGATTGCTGTAGTAGCATGCTCAAAGTCCTGAGCTTGATCCCCAGTACTGCATAAACCAGGCCTGGTGGAGCATGGCCACCTCTGGAGCTCAGAGGCAGGAGGATCAGAAGCTCAAGGCCATCTTTGGCAACATAGACAATTTGAAGCCAAGCCGGGCTACATGAGACCCTGTCTCGCCCAAGTCTGCCCCAGAGTCCTGGTCCTTAGCACTGAGCTGGTCGGACCCCCTCTCACCGTCAGGAAAGGGTTGCCTTCCAGGTTGAGTTCCTCGAGGTTCGGAAACTGGCTCAAGACAGTCACATCCCCCAGCTGGTTGTTGGCACAGCGAAGGATGCGCAGTTGAGACAGGCCCAGGTGGGCAGGCAGTGTCTCCAGCAGGTTGTCAGAGAGGTCAAGTTCCTTCAACTGCTTCAGACGTCCCAGGAGACTGGGGTCCAAGTGCTCTGACCGCAGCTTCAGTCCCGAGAGACTGGGGGGAGGGCAGAGATGAAAAGCTCAGGAGGCTGGCTGGGCAGACCCTTTCACCAGTTACCCTCATCTGCCCTAAAGGGATTTGCACCAAGCAATCTCTTATGGATAAGAATAAGCCTGGTGGGGGGGGGGGGTTAGAGAGATGGCTCAGAGGTTAAGAGCACTGGCTGCCCTTCCAGAGGTCCTGAGTTCAATTCCCAGCAACCACATGGTGGCTCACAACCATCTGTAATGAGATCTGGTGCCCTTCTCTGGCATGCGGGCATACATCGAGGCAGAATGTTGTATACATAATAAATAAATAAATCCAAAAAAAAAAAAAAAGAATAAGCCTAGGCTTATTTTTTTAGACTTGACTAGCCTGGAATTCACTACATATATTAGGCTGGCCTCAAAACTCAAAGAGATCCAATCCACAACTCACTGTGTAGTCCAGGAAAGCCTTGAACGTACTGCCTTTATCTCACCCGGAGCAATTCAGGTGGGAAGGGAAGCCTATGGAGACTCCAGCTTTCTTTTAGTCTGACAAACGCTCTACCAACAGAGCTGCAACTGCAGCTCTAGCCTCCCCCACTTTTTAAAAAAGATTTATTTAATGCATACTTGTGTTTTGCCTGTATATATTCTGTGTGAGGATGTTGGATCCCCTGGACCTGGGGTAACAGACAATTGTGAGCTGCCATGTGGGTGCTGGGAATTGAACCCAAGACCTCTGGAAGAGCGGCTAGTTCTCTTAAACTGCTGAGCCATCTCTCCAGCCCCCATCTCCCCCACTTTTCAGATTAAATTTTTATTTATTATAGTGCATATGTGCGTGTGGTATGTGTGTCTGTATGAATGGACGCAGTCCAAGGCGTGGGTAAGAAGGTCTGATTTAGGGATTGACCTCAGGCTTGGTGAAAGGCATCTTTACCCAGCACTTGGGAGGCAGGCGGATGGTTGTAAGTTCGAGGCCAGCGTGGTCCACAAAGAAAGTTTCAGGACAACCAGGACTGTTACACAGAAAGACCCTGCCTCGAAAAACAAAAAAGATAAAAGAAAAAAGTTTTCTTTTTGAGACAGGGTCTCAACCCGTAGCCCAGGTTAACTTCAAACGCACGACAGTCGCCTTGTGCGGTGGGGGTGGGGGTGGGGGGGTGGAGTCCTGAGTGCTAGATCTAACGACTTTAGAACCTAAGGCCTCCTAGTTCCCACTTGAATGTTTCTTTCTCGTTCCTGCATGCTCCTTCTGTGGTACTCACTTCCTCAATATCCCTGAGAGTGCTGTCTTTCCACCCTCCGCAGGGCTAAGTGAGCTCGCTGCAGGTCCACCTGACCCTGGGCTGAGGTTACCAATCGTTCCCGCATCACTGTTGGTCGCGAGACGCAGGCTTGACGGGGACCCGAAACCCCACTAGCAGAATAACGTGAACAGGCAGGGACGGGAAGGGATCTGAGCCTTGCACCCCGCCCATCAGGCGACCCACGGGGGAAAAGAATCCCGCAGGACCCCTCGCCCCGATCCGCTTCAACACCGCTATAGATCTTACTCCAGACTCCGGATCTTCCCCAGACTGTTGGTCTTGGGTCGCCCGCGTTGAAAGAGCAGCCGCTGCGTAAGGGGAGCCATAGATATCCGAGGGCTTAGCCGAACCCGCGCCTCCACGAAGGCCGGTAACTAACGCACGCAGAAACGGAGCCCAGGAGATGGCGCGCAGCAACCCCTTAAGAGTCTGTGGCGACCGGAAGGAAGCAAAACGCCTGCCTGCCGCGCTCCCTGCCTCCTGTCTCCGCGTGCGAGGACTACAACTCCAAGCGGCCCCTGCGCCTCGCGCTTGCGCTCTGGTTACTTGGAAGGCGCTATGGCGGCTACAACGGCAGAGGCTGCGGTGGTTGAAGCGACTCAATTACAGGCTTGCGGCTGCAAGGGCATCCGGACCTGTCTTATTTGCGAGAGACAGCGCCACGGGCCCCCGCCCTGGCAGATCTCCCCTCAGGTACGGATTAGGGAAAGAGTCAAACCCAGAAAACAGTTTTCCTCTTTATGGGAAACTGAGACCCAAGCTTGCCTGTGAAACGGGCGGGGATCAAAGCCTCGCGGTAGGGGAGTCGCTGGGAGCGCTCACAGCTTTGTTATTCACAACAATCAAGAGGTGGGCGCTCCCTAAGTGCCCTCATCTGAAAACGAATGAATGAGCGGGGAAAGTTGCTTCACGCCGAGATTCCTGCGTTTGAAAAGCGGTGGTAGGAGACCCAGAAGTTTGTAGCCAACCTCGGCCACGCAGCAGTTTGAGGAGGGGTCTTGGAAGTAGGGAAGCGGCAATGAGACATCACCTCTGTGACTTTTAAGTGGGGAGTGGCAACAGACTTGGACTTCATACCTGGGGTGGGGAAATTCTGAAGGGGTTTAAAAGAACGCTCCTTTAAAAAGTCAAGCTTTCGAAGGATCTTTGGAGGAAAGTGGAAAGCCAGTGGGGAGTGTCTCTCTTGGTGCTAAAATGCCCAACATGTTGTGAAAAAACCGGCGTGGAATGCCTCACAAGTAGTCTGATCACATGATCCAGCATGTTCCTGGATTTATATGCAAACGAAAGTTTTCTGTTTCTGTTTCTTTGGTTAGAGGCCCAGGGTCCCCTCCAAATGCTAAGATTATAGGCATGTGTCACCATATCTGGCTCCGAGCAGCAGTCACAGCAACCAAAGGGTGGCCGTTACCCAAGTGTTCATTACCAATGGTGGTGCTGGCCTGGGATCTTCTGAGTTTTGACCTGGCAGCTGAAAGCAGGAAGCTTGGGAGTAAAGACAGCTGCCCCTACATAGCAAGTTTTAAAACAGACTAAACTACATAAGACTGTGTCTCAAAAGAACAAAGGAAAGACAGACACAATAAAGTGATGAATTATTAAAAAATATCTGTGATATATACACAGTAGGTTGTTATATAACGTTGGAAAGGAAGGCAGTTCCGACATAGTTATGTGTGGACGTGATGCCAAATGAAAGAAGCTAATCACTGGCTGGGGTGTGGCTCAGTGGTAGAGCCCCTACCTAGAAAACCCCAGTGAGGGGCTGGGGTGTGGCTCAGTGGTAGAGCACCTGTCTAGATCCCCCAGCGAGGGGCAGGAGAGATAGCTCAGCAGTTAAAAACACATACTGCTCTTGCAGAGGACCTACATTTGGTTCCTAGCACTCAGACCAGATGGCTGACAACTGCCTTCATAACTCTATGTCCAAAGGGATCTGGCTCCCTCTTCTGGCCTCTAAGGGCACCTGCAGTCACATGTACATTGCCACACACAAATGCACACATAAAAACATAATTTGAAAAAAAAAAAAAGAACTTGAAGAATGCCCTAGTGAGGGTGGGATGTAAGATGTAACTCAGTGGTAGCGTGCTTGCCTAACGTGCTAGGCCCTGGGTTCTGTCTACACACATACACACACACACACACACACACACACAGCCATTCCAGCAGGAGAGATAATTGTGTGTGTAGTCTCTCTTATATGAAGTATCTAAAGTAGTTAGAATCATAGACACAGAAAGTAGAATGGTGGGTGTCAGGTTCTGGGAGAGAAGAGAATGGGGAATTAGTCTTTAATAGTATCTGGCTTCAGTTTTGCAAAAGAAAGAGAGTTCTAGAAGTGGATGATCATGGCGGTTCTCTACCAGTGCCCATTTGCTTACTCCCTGAACTGGACAGGGAGATGGTTAAGACACTGAATATGTTTGTCCTACAAGGTCCTGGGGGCTGGGTCTCATGGAGCCCATGTTTACTATCTAGTGAAAGATGACCATGAGGTCCTGATTGTCCTGCTCTGTACATGAGAATGACAATGTGTTGTGCAGTGCTGGTGATGGAGCCCAGGGCTTCGTGCATGCTAGGCAGGCACTCTGCCAACTGAGCTACCGCCTCTGATCTCAGCTACCCACCTGTTTTTAATAATAATTTATTTGCTGGGCGGTGGTGGCACACACCTTTCATCCCAGCACTTGGGAGGCAGAGGCAGGAGAATCTCTGTGAGTTTGAGGCCAGCCTGGTTTACAAGAGCTAGTTTCAGGACAGGCTCCAAAGCAACACAGAGAAACCCTGTCTCAAAAACAAACAAACAAACAAAAAAGAATAATTTTATTTTATAAGCACTGGCATTTTGCCAGCACGCATGTCTGTGTGAGAATTTCGGGTTCCCTGGAACTGGAGTCACAGACAGTTGTGAGCTGCCGTATGCGTGCTGGGAATTGAACCCCAGTTCTCTGGAAGAGCAGCCAGTGCTCTTAACCACTAACCCATCCCTCCGGTCCCTAAACTGACCTTTTTTTTTTTTTAATTTATTTATTTATTTATTATGTGTACAACATTCTGCTTCCCACACACCAGAAGAGGGCGCCAGATCTCATTACAGATGGTTGTGAGCCATCATGTGGTTGCTGGGAATTGAACTCAGGACCTCTGGAAGAGCAGTCAGTGCTCTTAACCTCTGAGCCATCTCTCCAGCCCCTAAGCTGACCTTTTTGAATGAGTTTCAGCTACTACTCCTCTCCGGAGGCAGGAGCTGGGCTGAGGAAAATGAGAATCCCTGGCTTCCAACAAGCCTTGTCCAGCCCCTGGCCACCAAGACCACAGCCTCAGGGTTGGCCGTCTTCTCAGGCTCCCGATACAGCCTGTGTCCTTTTGTCCTCTTGACCCTGAGAGCAGGTGGTACCCACAATGCCAAAGGAAGAGTGCCCACATCCCATTAATTCAGGGATGAGAATCCTACTGCTCCAGAGGGCTGCAGGCCTGGGGCTGCGGTCTGTCTGTGTTGTCCCAGGGACTCCAGACACCTCTCCAAATGGCCTCAGTCCCAAGAAGAGCATTGGAACCCCAGAGGCCAGAAGATCCTGGGGACCTAAGGCACATGTGGGTATCATGGGTCTTTGGGGGTTCTGGGGTGCTTCTGTTTGGGGTGTGGGTGTGTGTGTGCAGGTAGATGTGTACACATGGAGGCGAGAACAACCTCAGACACCCAACTTTTTTTTTAAGACAGGGTCTCTCAGTGGAGTAGAACTTCCAAGTAGGCCAGGCCAGCTTGATCTTCTCATCTCTGCCTCCCCTGCTCTGGGATTGTTGGTTTTGGGGGACCGAACTCAGGTTCTGGTGCTTGCAAAGTCAGCAGTTGGCCGGCTGAGCCACCATCCCTCCCTCCTGTCTCTGTTTACAGAAAAAATACCATTTCCTTTACTGCCCGGACACAGGCTGGGCCGTGGGGCCCCAGGACTCTGACTTTGAAGGTTGGGCCTTCCCGTTCCCGGGAGTGACACTGCTAGAGGACTTTGTGACCACAGAGGAAGAGGCTGAGATGGTGCGGCTGATGGACACTGACCCCTGGAAGCCCTCTCAGTCTGGGCGGAGGAAACAGGTATGGTAGCCCTAGCTGGACCAAGGGGCAGCCCCTTTGCTGGGATCCCTGGCTATCTCCTGTAGGGAGTGGGTGGCCAGTCACAGGGGGCGTGGGCTTCCTCATCAAGCAGGGCCGCGGCTGTCTATGCTGCTGTACCGTTGGTTGGGAGCCATGGTGGTAATTATGGTCCTGCCAGGCTCCATCCATCCCAGCCCCTCCCTTATCTCTCACTCATTCTATGTCTGGACTCTTGATAGGCCCTTAGGGACAGTGGTACCCCTCCTCCTGTTTCTCCTCTTCCTCATTAGCTCCCCCTCACCCAACTCCCACAATTTAGTCAGCTCCTGTAGCAGTTTCAAAGGTGCTCTTCACCCTTTGTTCCTGGCATCGGAGTGTTTGATTAGAGCTCTGGGGACATCAGCCAATTAGAGTTCCCTTCAGGTTTCTCCCTGAGCTGGGACCACCCCAACTACCCACTCTGCCCCTGACCCTCAGGACGAACTATACGGCTTCCATGGGGACCTTGTTCTCTTATCCACCCCACCTTGTGTTGTACCTGTCCCTTCTTCCTCCCTGAAGCCCCCAGCCACACGGTCTCGGTCTCATAGAACCCACTTGCCATGTGGATGAGCTTCTGGTCCTCCTGCCTCCACTCCACAAGGGCACGCTGTACTGGTGGTAGGCACTACTACACTGGCATTGCTTCTCCAAGACAGGGTCTCATGCTATAGCCCATCTGGCCTTGAACTCCAGGCAGTCCTCCTGCCTGAGCTTCCAAGGTGCTGGGATTGCACGCACCAGCCACACCCAGCTTGTGGTTGACATTTCCTAAGATGAGCCCCTCCTCTTTTCCTTCCTGTCTCTACTCCAGGACTACGGCCCGAAGGTCAATTTTCGGAAGCAGAAACTGAAGATGGCTGGCTTCCAGGGTCTCCCCAGCTTCAGCCAGAAGGTGGTCCAGAGAATGGGTCTGTACCGGGAACTGGAGGACTTCCAGCCCGTAGAACAGTGTAATCTGGACTACAGCCCAGAGCGGGGCTCGGCCATCGACCCCCACCTGGATGATGCCTGGCTATGGGGCGAGCGGCTGGTGAGCCTCAACCTCCTGTCAGCCACCGTGGTGTCCATGTCCCGTGAAGCCCCTGGTAGCCTGCTGCTCTTCTCAGCCCCCTCCGTCGGGGCCCCTGGCAGGTCTGTCCCCTGCCAGGAGGTGGAGGTAGCCATCTCTGTGCCCTGCCGCTCTCTGCTGGTGCTCATGGGGCCTGCACGGCACCAGTGGGCACATGCCATCCACCGCAGACACATCAAGGCTCGCCGTGTCTGTGCCACCTTCAGAGAGCTGGCCAGCGAGTTCCTGCCCGGGGGAAAACAGCAAGAACTGGGGCGGGAGCTGCTGCAGGCTGCACTTTCCTTCCAAGGAAGGCCCGTGTGAACACATCCCTGGGGAAACATGGACACAAGAGCTGGCACCAGCCTGGCTGGAAACATGGCTCCAACATAAGCATTAAGGGAGCGAACACTGAGGTCTCTCCACAGCTCATTAGAGTCATTGGGTTTTGTTTTTTTTTTTTTTTTTTGAGACAAGGTCTTGTGTAGCCTAGGCTGCCTTCAAGTGGATTCTGTAGCCAAGGAAGACCTTGAATTCTTGATCCTTCTGCCACCACTTCCAGAGTGCCTGGATTCCTGGTGCGCAGCTGTCAGGCCTGGCTTTATCATGGTTGTTTGATTTCTCTTCTTTTTGAGCAGGGTTTCTGGCCTAGACTGGCCTCGAACTCCCTTTATAGCCAAGGGTGACTTTGAACTTCTGATCTGCCTCTACCTCCTGAATGCTGGGGTTGCCAGTGTGCACCCCCACGCTCAGTTGTTTTTGTTTTGTTTTTGTTTTTTTAGGTACTGGGATAGGGCTTCCTGCTTGCTAAGCAAGCGCTCTGCCAACAAAGCTATATCCTACGCTGTTGGGTGTTTTGAGACAAAGTCTCATGTGGACCAGGCAGGCCTGGACTCACTATGTAGCCTGTGACCCCAGATGTCATGAGCATCACATACCCCGCCTGGAGCTGGTTCTGATGGGCCTGGATCGTGGACGTTCTTTGGTTTATTTAATTTGTCACAGTTTGGAGGGATTCGATCTTTTAAAACCTTAGTATCCGGGAGAAGCAAGAAGGCTCCGTGGGTAAAGGTGCACCACCAAGTCTGACTGCCTGAGTCCAGTCTTTGCTATCCACATGGTAGAGGGAGAGAACTCCTGAAGTCGTCCTCTGGCCTCCACACACTCATTGCCCTTCTGACAAACTTTATAATAAAAGAGAAAACAGAAAAACTTTGTTGCCATGTGAAATGCTTTTCTCCTTTTCCCATCTCTGTGTGAAGGAGTCGCAGTTACTTTGTTTTTGTTTTAAGACAGGGTCGGGGGGTGGTCTCTCTCACTGTGGAGCCTTGGCTGGCTTGGAACTTTGTAGACCAGACTGGCCATGAACTCACAGAAATTCTTCTGCCTCTGAGTAAGTGCTGGGATTAAAGATATACACCATTCCACCATGCCCAACATTTTTCCTTTATTAGATAAGTTCTCCATTTGTAGCCCAGGCTGGCCTCAAACACTCAAACATTGACCCAGGGATCAAACTTATTTTTTAAAGTTACATTTATTTATTTTGTTTGTTTATTTATAGGAGTAGGGCACATTTGATGGAGGAAGGTCATTGGTTAAAAAAATAAACTGCTTGGCTGGCCCTCATAGGTTAGAACACAGGTGGGTGGAGTAAACAGAACAGAATGCTGGGAGGAAGTGGAAGTGAGCTCAGACTCGACAGCTCTCCTCTCGGGAGCAGACCCCTCAGAGAGACGCCATGCTCCCAGCTCCTGGGCAGACACACACAATTAAGCTCCGACCCAGGATGGACGTAGGCTAGAATCTTCCCAGTAAGCGCACCTAGCTGTGCTACATAGAATATTAGAAATGGGCTAGTCCAGGTGCAAGAGTTAGCCTAGAAGAGGCTAGATAGAAATGGGCCAAGCAGTGATTAAAAAAATACAGTGTCCGTGTAATTATTTCAGGGCATAAGCTAGCCAGGCGGCCGGGGTGCTGGGAACGCAGCCCCACCGCTCCTATTACTACACACATTGGGTGGTGGTGGTGCACCACTTCAATCCCAGCACTCAGGAGGCAGAGGCAGGTGGAGCTCAGAGTGCTAGGCCAGCCAGGGCTACAAAGAGAAACCCTGTCTCAGAAACAAACAGGAAAGAAAGAAAGAAAGAAAGAAAGGAAGGAAGGAAGGAAGGAAGAAATTCGAAATTGCTGAGCAGGGTACATGTGGAGGACAGAAGGCAGAGAGCAGGCCAGGGCGGGTGTTGGGCGGATTTGGCTGTCCTGAGGCTCTGAGGACAGAGCACACTGTCCTGTTCACCCAGAAAAGGGTCACAGTCAGCCCTAGGTTGGTTTCTTTTAAGATAAAATTTTGGGGTGTATGTGTGTTTCTGGGTGTGCAGGTTGCCACATGTATGTGGGTACACATGCATTTGCTGTGTGCATGTATCTGGGGGCTAGATGTCAACAGCTGTGTTTATTATCATTGTTGTTGTTGCTGTTTCAAGGCAGGGTTTCTGTATGTAGCCCTGGCTGTCCTGAAACTCACTCTGTAGACCAAGCTGGCCTCGAACTCAGAGATCCACCTGCCTCTGCCCCCCGCGTGCTGGGATTAGAGTGTGTGCCACTACTGCTCAGCTACATTCAAATTTATTTATCTTGGTGTATGAGGGATGCGTGAGATCAGAGAACCATTTAAGCGAATCAGTTTTCTCCTTTCCTTGTGTTGGTTCTGGGGCTTGACATTAACCTTGACAGCCAAGACCTTTACCATCTGAGCCATGCCAGCAGCCCAGCTACTGTTGTTCAGGTGCCATACGTTTTGTTTGTAAAACAGGGTCTCTCATTTGCCTGGAACTCTCCAAGTAGGCTGAGCTGGCAGGCACTCGGCACAAAAACCTGCCTTTCTCCTCGTCGCTAGCTCTGGAATTGAACCTGCTCCATATCCAGCTCTGTGGGCTTTAGGGATTGAAATCATGTCTTCATGGTTGCAGGCCAAGTTATTCACTGACTGAGCTCAACTTCCCAGCCTCTGTTTTAATTTCTTATTTTTATTTGGGAAATTAGCATATTTATGGATGTTTTGCATGCATATATTATCTGTGTGCTCTATGTGTGCAGTACCCACAGAGTCCAGAAGAGGGCACTGAATTCCGTGGACCTGGAGTTAGAGACATTTGTGAGTTTCCTTATGGGTGCTGGGAAGCAAACCCTGTCTCCTCTGGAAGAGCAGCCAGGGTGCTTAACCACAGAACCATCCCTCCAGTCCCAACAGGTCTGTTCTTGCTGATACCTCTCAGAACTAGCTGAGAGTCAGGGACTATCTAGGAAGTCTGTACCAGGACTGAAGAAAGCCCTAAAATGGCCCTGTGACAGGCAGCATGGTTCCCTTCTGATTCAGTGAGCCTAGGGCCCAACAGAGTAAACAGGCTTCCAGACAGCCATGACTGCTGCCCTGCATTCTCTTATGTAGAGTAAGATGAGGGAGTTGGGAGTAAAGCCCAGTGGTAGAGCCCCTGCCTAGAATCCCCCAGTGAGGGGCTGGGGTGTGGCTCAGTGGTAGAGCCCCTGCCTAGAATCCCCCAGTGAGGGGCTGGGGTGTGGCTCAGTGGTAGAGCCCCTGCCTAGAATCCCCCAGTGAGGGGCTGGGGTGTGGCTCAGTGGTAGAGCCCCTGCCTAGAATTCCCCAGTGAGGGGCTGGGGTGTGGCTCAGTGGTAGGACACCTGCCTAGAATCCCCGAGTGAGGGGCTGGGGTGTGGCTCAGTGGTAGAGCCCCTGCCTAGAATCCCCAGTGAGGGGCTGGGGTGTGGCTCAGTGGTAGAGCCCCTGCCTAGAATCCCCCAGTGAGGGGCTGGGGTGTGGCTCAGTGGTAGAGCCCCTGCCTAGAATCCCCAGTGAGGGGCTGGGGTGTGGCTCAGTGGTAGAGCCCCTGCCTAGAATCCCCCAGTGAGGGGCTGGGGTGTGGCTCAGTGGTAGAGCCCCTGCCTAGAATCCCCCAGTGAGGGGCTGGGGTGTGGCTCAGTGGTAGAGCCCCTGCCTAGAATTCCCCAGTGAGGGGCTGGGGTGTGGCTCAGTGGTAGAGCCCCTGTCTAGAATCCCCCAGTGAGGGGATGGGAGGGTAGCTGAGCTGTAAAAGACTCCTTGTCTTGTATGTGGTGGCCCTGAAGATGGAGGTTTGAATGAGTTATTGCATGTGTGGCCCTTTCTGCATATGTAATAGAACAGTTCTCCCAGCCCTGCCTGGTGCTTTCCAGCACTGGGAAGGTCCCCTTCTGGCAATGACACAACTTACCTTAGGAACCACCTGCTATGGGTCAACTAGAGGCTGTGACATAAAGACCTTCTGGAGGAAGGAGGATCGCAGGCTAATCTGGGCCTAAGCATTGCCAGCTTCCACTTCGCCCCTCCAGCCTGGCTGTCACAGCAGGCATCAGGCTGGGTGCTAGATCACAGATGGCCCTGAGGCACTAGGGTCCTGTGTGCTACAGGAAGGCGGGTCTCCATCAGCCACCACAGAGTGGCTTGTGCTTCCTAGTACCTTAAGCCATCACCCACGTGTCCCTTCAAGATTTCTCAAGCTTTCTGGTCCAGGTTGGGTGGCCTGGGTCACCTGTTCTGATACTCTGAACCTTGAACAAGGAGAGCCCATGTGTACACGTCATACTAACTTGGAAGCGTCTGCTCTGCAGGCAGAGTAAGAAGGACTGACTACCAGGGGCAAGGACATTCGCAATGATCCCAGCACTTGGGAGGCAGAAGCAGGAAGAATGACTCCCAAGCCAGCCTGGGTTATGTGGTGAATTCAAGGCCAGCCTGAGCGACACAGTGAGACGCTGTCTCAAACAAACACCGCTTTTCTTTTCAGTGCTGACCTGCTCAGGGATGGCAAACCGTGCCTTTGCTGGTTGGCCAGCCTTCACTTCCAGGCTGTACCCTGCTAGAGCCCAGCCTAAGTCAACCTCACAGGCAAGCTGTTTCAAGTGTGGCCTAAATTGTCACGTGGCACGGTATTGCACTACACTTCCTCCGAGGTTATCCCCTATCTGCCAGCAACCTGAACACTGGAAATCACAATGCCCACATGCGGCTTGTCCTCTATGTCACACCATGGAAGCCCAGCATCACCATAGGTAAGTGAAACTGTGCCAGCCTTTGAACTTCTCAGCCTTGCAGAGATGCTGCCCAGACTTGGTTTATCCCGTAACCCTGTCCAAGCCTAAGGTAAAGCTGCAGGTAGCAGGTAAGTCCATTACTTTTATTCTCATTCGGGCCTTAGGTTCCCCTCACCCATTTCAGTTACGGGGGTAGACGGGACCCATTCCTCCCCACTTAAAACTTTGCCACTGCCCTGCATTCTTGCAGGACAATTTTTTTCTCATTCTTTCTTAGTGATACCTGCTTGCCCAGCACCTTTACTGGGTGGAGATATCCTTAGCCGCTTCCCCAAAGCTTTGTTCCGCTTCTTTGTTCCACCCATCTCCGAGACTGTATTTTACAGGTTCACTTCTCCTGCCAGACGTGTGCCCAGGCCAGCCCACAGGGGCTCTCCACATACGTCAGTCTCTACACCAGCTTCGCGGACACCAACCGGGCAAAGATTGGCAGCTTCATTTCACGCATATGCCTACTCATAAAAATACTCCATTATCTCTTAACACTTGTGGATGCTTTTACAGGATGGATAGAAGTGTTTCCAGTCTTCAGGGAAACAGCAGATGTGGTGGCTCAGGGTCATGGAGCTCTTGTCAGAAGCTCTCAGCATCTAGAAATTCCACACCCCCTACCATCCACAATCCTCGGGAAAGGTAGAGAAGGCCAATGGACTCATCAAACAACAACTAACCAAACTCTCCATTGAACTCAGGTTATCTTGGCCCTCCCTTCTCCCCATTGCCCTGACTTGCCTCAGGGTCACCTCACATCCCCTACAGGCCTGAGCTCTTTTTAGTTGCTTTATGGCAGGCCCATTCTCCTTAACCATCCCCTCCCAGTCCAAACTCCTCCACTGGCGGGGTACCTACCCTACCTCTCCCTTTTAAGGTCCCTTCTCCATTCACAGGCTGACATTTGTCTCCCTGCCCCCACACCGGTGGACCCTACTGCCCCTAAACCTGCCCTGCTCTCCCCGGGGACACAGTACTCCTCAGTTAACTCCTAGGTCTCTAGAACCTCGATGGACAGGACCTCACATGGTAATCCTCCCCCCCCCCCCCCTCGGCTGCCAAGCTCTTGGGACACCCATGCTGGCGCCATCTCTCCAGGCTCAGGCGGGTGCCTGCTCGAGATACTTGACACCTGCCTCATCACCTCCCCCAAGGAACAGATGCCTGACGTCTCCGGGAAGGGATGACACAGTACACGGGTTGCCTTTCCACCACACTGCGCTGAGCGTGGACCCAAGGACACCTAGCTCTCCCCTTCCCCACATCGCCCCATGCCCGCAGGAAGTAGTCAGATTTGAGTCTATGCCCTTTTTTCCCAAAAGACCCTAAATGTTTGTCATAATTAACACTTCAATTTTCTATCCCTATATCAAAAGAGTCTGGAATGTTAAGTTGGGAGCGTAGGCCCCAGCCCCTCGCATCTATCCCAGCCCCCAGGCCTGAGAGTTATATTGATCTGGACTTCAAATCCCAGCAGGCTGTGTCCTGACTCCTCCCTGCTGGGGGGGTCAGGACCACTCCCACAGGGTATTTAAATGAACTCCCAAAAGAGGAACTCGTGGTCTCTTTTCCTTCCTCCTGGTGGTGGCTTTTGTGGCCTCCCGGTTCCTCATTGGGGCCACCCACCCGAGAGCACAAGAATCCCGTTAAACCTGAATACTTCTTAATTTGGCTTGTTTTGATTTGGCTTGATTGGGAATTTTGCATTGGCAGAGAGCTCGCGTTAGGAAAAATTCCTAACAATTTGGGGGCCCTTTGGCCTGGGGAGCTACTCCCTGTATGCCTGTGCTTTGCACACCTGACTCCCAGGATCCTCGGGCTGAGAGTCTAAGTTGTTAGGAACACTGAAGCACAGAGACTGTTCCTAGGAGCTTCTGGGGGCATGAACTGCATCCCCACATTAAAGCAACTAGTTGGTGGCACGTGCTTGTCCTTGCACTGGGGAGGCAGGGACAGGAAGAGCCCTGGGCTTGCCTGGCCACCCACGCTAGCCTAATGGCAGGTTTCCAGTTGAGTGAGCCGCTGTCCCAACCAAAGATGATGTCTAAGGAACGGCACCTGGAGTTGACCTCTGGCTTCCACATGTATATGGGCTTGTGTACACCACACACGTGTGTGCGCACGTACACACGCATTCGCACACAACCCAAGAAAAACATTTTCCTAGGAGAGACCTCTATGTCTGGGCAACTTTTCCAAAAGTTGGTGGCCCAGTAGGTGACCTGGATAATGGCTCCAGGGCCATAGAGACCCGGGGGGCCAACACCTCAGGGGCTCCTCTTCTAGAAGCCTGTAAAATCTAGATGACCTTGTCCAGATGCGTTCAGGTGAGCTCAGCCACCCACATTGGGCCTGCCTTTCCCCTCCCTGCTTTCGGAAAGGAACTAGGAGGAGGCCCCGCTGCCATGTGTGAGGTTCCCTAGGGGTGCAGTTGGCAGGGACCTCACTTAGTGTATGCCAGGGTCCCAGCAGCCTGCCTGCCCATGCTAGAAGGTCCCACACTCACTCTGCCCCGAGATCAATGCAGCAATAAAAGGTGATGCATAGACTCCAGGTAAGGCGCTCTCTGCCAGGACTGAGAGGCGGCAGTGCAGCGGACATGAGCGCTGGGCTGGAGCCCCTGAACCACGGCACACATTTCTCAAAAGCACAGAATTTTGAAAAGCGCTATCAATTTATTCAGTTCAATCCAGGGTAACTGCTAAAAACTCCACACACAGGGCAGGCTTTACCTACAGTGTCCTGCAGAAATAGTGGCACAGAGGAAGTCTTGGGCCCTCTGGGCTCCTGTAGCTTGTTCTCAGTAGACCTTTCCGGAAGACGCTAATCACAGTCTGCCTTTGAAGTTTCTTAAATGGAAATGCTTGGATTTTGGAGACTTTGTGGTCAAGCATACCGGGAGACTGTATGCCATGTTGGGAAGGGCCTTGGTGTGTCTGAGGGCACCGGTCCCTTGAGCATCAGGAAGGGCTGCATCTTGGACAGACGAAATTAGGGCAAGCCTGTGCAGGCCCCAGGGGCCCACTGTGGTTAGAGCAATGTCTGAAATCAGGTTATGCCTCCAGAAAGTGAACTGTCTCGCCTTCAGCCTGCGCTGCTGGCTTCTGCCAGTGTTCACACACAGACGGCTGTCCCCTGCCCCGGCACTGGAAGACTGAGAAGACGGGAAGGGACAGCATGAGGGACCACAGGAGATCTACACTGCCCTAGATCTGAGAGCACTGGATGCTCTCAGAAAGTGGGTGGGAAGGACGGGTCTAATGTCCACAGGAACCGCCTTTTTATTTTGTATGTGTATGTATGTACACACGTGGATGCCTGCAGAGGCCAGAGTTACAGGTAGTTGTGAGCTGCCCTATGTGGATGCTGGGAATTGAACTCTGGTCTACTCAGCTCCCCTCCCCCCCATACAAACTCTGACCAGCCCAGGCTGACCTTGACCTCATTATGACCTTGAACTCCCCATCGACCCTCCAGCCTGCATCTCCTGAATGCAGGGATTGCAGATGCATCCTGCCATGTTTGGTTTATGTGGCGCTAGATATGGGACCCAGGGCTTTGTTATGCCAGGCAAACAGACCACCCACTGAGCGACATCCTCAGCCTTCAACATGGTGGTCCAAGAGGTGCCCATTGGAGCTGCTCATTCCAAAAGATTATCCTGTCTTCCCTGCTGGGACTCTTGTGCCATCTTACAGTGACTCTAATAGTAAATTATTTTCCTTACTATACTTATTTGTGTGTAGTTCCGAGGATGGGGACTGAACTCAGGTCTCCAGGCTTGGTGGCAAGTGCCTTTACCCACTGAGCCATCGCGCCTGCCCATGACTAGCATTCTTCAGCAAAACAAATCAAACTAAGCTGCCCTTCCCAAAGACCCCAGGAAAGCAGAGGTCTAAGACCTCAAGGGTCTCAAGACCTGTCCGCAGAGGTGGAGGGTGTTGAAGGACACAGCTTTGAAAGACAGGACATGGTGTCCTAGTTCCCCAAAGATGTCACAGTTTACAAGGAAGATTCTCCGAGAGGCTCCCCCAGGCCCTCTGTGTGCGGAAGCCTATGCTCAACAGTGTGACCCATTTCCAGAAACCCCAGGCGGGTCTCCAGGCTCCCACAGCACCAAATATAGACTCCTTGCAGGAGCCCAGTCCGGGTGATGCTGCAGACGTGGGTAAACAGGGTGTCCCAGCAGTTCCCACGTAAGCTGGTGCTGTACCGCAGGACATGGACAACACCAGCTGGGTCACCAGATGCCTGCAGTGACAATGCCAAACTCATGCACAGCTGTGCAAACATGGGGGCAGGGACCTGCACTGAGAGTCCTGGCAGGGCCACAGCAGTGTTGAGTTCCCCTCTTCTCTGCAGTTAACCGGGCTATCATAAGGAATATCCACTTATGTTAGCCTGGAGCAGGCCCCCTGCCCCACCCACAGGCCAGACCAGGCTAACTGCTGTGCTGAAACAGGAAACCCCTTCAGTTTATCCTCTCAGTGTCTAGGGACCACAGGCAGCACAGTAGCTGAGCTGCCAGGTCTCTGAGATGCTGCTCACTGTGTTGACGGAGTCCACAGAGCTGGCCAGTTCAGACCCGTTCTGTGACTAGGAGGTGGGAGAGCCTGCTGTGTGTGGGGTGTGTCACCATCTCTGACCTCAGTGAGCCGCTGGTGGTGAACTCTAGGACATTTCTCCTCAACCTGCCAAGCCTCCCACACTGGGTCATCTATGTCTAGGCAACCTGGATTCCAATAACGGTATGTGTTACCCTTGTTGAGCTGTGCGTGCCCCAGGATCTGGACACCTCGTGATACTCTCCAGAACTGGAGGAAAGCACCAAGCTGAACCATACATAGATCAGTCACGGTTCCCCTGTGTGTCATTGCAAGCCATGTTACCCTGTGCCAGCCTTGGGCTCATCTCTGCTCTTTCCAGCAGCCTGTTCTTTATGTGTGTGTGTATGTATGCGTGTGCTCACATGTATGCACGTGCATGTCTTCTCACCATGTAGTAGAGAACCACGTCGAACCCCTGATCCTCCTTCCTCTACTTCCCTAAAGCTGGGATGACCACACCTGGCTATGTAGTGCTGGGGTGCAAACCCAGAGCTTCCTGCACACTAGGCAAGCTACTGACTGAACCCCAGTCCTCTAGCTGGCCTGCCAATCACAAGGCCCAGATGTCTGAGATTTGCTGTGACCTCTGGTGTGCTGGGACCCCTTTCCCAGGACAAGGTGTTTTCAGCTTGTCCCTGATCCAGGAAGTAAGTCCCCAGGGCCATGTGACCCTATTTCCTCCTCTGGCCTGTGTGATAGGATGGATGTATCCTCACCCCTTTAGACCCTCATGCATCTGAGGAGTACTGAAGAATCGGGGCAGCATCTGTGCAGTCTGCTCAGAAACCCCCACTGTGGCGCTTACGAAGTTGTGGTGGTTCTCATGAAGCCAGGGTTTGTCTGGCAGCCCCTTGGCTACTCCTGCCGGCGGCACGGTGGCTAACACCGCCTGAGGGTCACTCTCCTGCAAGCTGTGCCATCCTGGACAGTCCTCACACCACCTGCAGGCTCCTCTCGTGCCCATCCAGCTGCACCTTGAGCTTATGCAGCTCCTCGATCTCACGGTTGTGGCGCTCAGTCTTGTGCCGCACCAGCGAGCGGTAGAAGTGGATAGTGAAGACCACGAAGATGAGACCCACGGGTACCATGATGATGGTGGATACCAGCGCGGCCTGCCAGCCTGTGTGGCTGTGGGAGCCTGGCTGGCCCCTGGCATCCACAGGGAGGAACTTGATCCAGCAGAGTAGTACCACCTCAGCCAGGAAGAGCAGGATGCCCAGCACAGTTGAGAAGCCCCAGGCAAGCTCAATGTAGGGGTGCATGCGCTCGTGCGGTGACTCGCTGATGGAGTTGAGGTTGTGGATGTTGCTCACGGCTTCCACGTTGGGCAGGATGCATGTGCTGATGAGCAGAGCGAACAGGTGCACGGCCACCAGCACCGTGGTGCAGGCGCTGAAGGCGATGAGCAGGGGCTGCGGGTACTGGTACTGTGTCTCCAGTTGCACCTCCACCATGGCTACCTGTGGGCACAGTAGGGGTTGTGTCAGGTGGGCAGGGGTGTACCGCACCGTGGCCATCAGTGGGGGATAGTAGGTGCGCTGGGCATGCTAGACAAGGGTGCTGCTGAGACACGCCTTCAGCCCTTGGTGGGGGAGTCTGTCTGTTTTGTTGTTGTTTTTCTACACAGGGTTTCTCTGTATAGCCCTCACTATCCTGGAACTAGTTCAGTAGACCAGGCTAGCCTCAAACTCAGAGATCTGCCTGTCTCTGCCTCCCAAGTGCTGGAACTAAAAGCATGTGCCACCATCCCCTGCCCCCTATCCTGGAACTCACTCTGTAGACCAGGCTGGCCTCAGGCTCGTGCCATTATGCCTTGCTTTTAAAGAGCCACTTCTAAGTGAAAGACACACAAACACACGGGGACCAGAAGCCCCGGCTTTTTCTGGTGGCCGGGATCTGCAGTCATTCCTGCACACCCTCCATGTGCCTCCTGCTCACACTTCCCCGGCAGCCTGTAGCACCAACCCGGGGCACCACCGCTGTAGACTGCTCCAGGAAGGGTGTAGTTGGAATTCGGGCCTGCAAGAGGTTCAGGAAAGCAAACAAGTCAAAGAAGGAGCCTGGAAGGCAGAAGCTCAAGGGAGGCCTTCATGCTACCACCTGGACCTCCTTGATGATGACGGTGATAAGTGTGTGTGTGTGTGTGTGTGTGTGTGTGTGTGTGTGCGTGCATACGTGTGTACACCCCCTGGAGGTCAGGGGACTATGTCAGGGGTTGGTTCTCTCTCGCCACCTAGTTTAGAGGCGAGCTCTGTCATATTTCTGCCATGCCTGCCCCAGCACAGCCTGGGGGCGTCCAGTCAATTCACCTCTCTCTCCCTCCATCTTGCCATAGTGGAGCTGAGATTATAGACACACACCAGGGCACCTGGCTTTTTCACATGGGATGGATCTCAGGTGACCAGCCTTGTGCAGCTGTCTTCAAACTTTCTACAATCCTCCTGCCTCAGCCCTCTAAGGTTATAGAAGGCTGTCGGGCTATAGTCAAATGCCACCACATCCGTCTTGTAAAAAACAAGAAACACAGTGCTTGGATCTCTATGAGTTCAAGGCCAGCCTGGTCTACACAGTGACTCCAGGGCAGCCAAGGCTGCATGACAAGACCCTGTCTCAAATCAAACAAACAAATAAACAGGACCTGTTTCAGCCTCAGCCTTAGTCATCAGCTTCTCCCAGCTGCCCTGAAGTCTGAGCGACAGTTTGCTTTGATGGCGGTAGACTAAGGAAGCCCCCAGGCTCACAGCCCATCTTGGTGGTTTTTTTTCTTCTTTTCAAAAGTTTTTATTTAATTATGTAGTGTGTGTGCGCGTGTGTGCGTACATGTGTGTGCCACAACACACATGTGGAGATGAGAGGAAAATGTGCACAGGTAGTTTCTCTTCCTTCTACAATGTGGGTTCCAAGGACTGAACTCAGGCCATCAGACTTGGCAGCAAGTGTCTTTGCCTGCTGCCTGGACTCTGCTTTTGCAGAGTCTGAGTCTGGATGTTCTGGTTGGTTTTTTTTTATCCTTATTGGAGACAGCATTTCTCTGTAGCTTTGGGAGCCTGTCCTGCTGTCCTGGAACTCCCTCTGGCTGACCTTGAACTCACAGAGATTAAAGGCGTGCACTGCCACTACCACCTGGCCAGGGTTGTTTTCTACCTCCTGTGGGGCATTTTGTGGTGGGCTATATCAGCCCACTAGAGGAAACTCCCAGAAGAGGCGCAAAGGGCACCAGGAAAGTTCTTCAACATATCTACAATTTGCCTCTGGGAGCATCTACCAGTACTGGGGGAACTGCACAAACGCAGTAGAAATGAATTGTTACAATAAAGCACGGCAGCCGTGGCCACGCTAAGGTCACACGGTATCTGGGCCTGCCAGTGCACTCAAGACTACCGCCGTGAGGTCTAGACGGCCCTCCCGTCTCCAGAATGCAGTCTGATGCTTCACAGAACCTGTCTGGAAATCTCACAACTGGCTTCAGCTTTCGTTTGGGTGAGCGTTTCGTTGGGTGAGGTACTATAAATTCTTCCAAAGTTTGGGGAGCCAAATGCTCTAAAGGCCTGGGTCCAAAAATGACAGCTGCTGACAGGAGTGAGTTCCAAGCCTGGGCGGCACAGAGAAGGGGGCCATCTGTCTGGGGGCGTGGCTCGGGGGCACACTGCTTGCCTGGCAGCCATCCACAGCCCTGGGCTTCATCCTCAGCACCACACACACACACACACACACACACACACACACACACACACGGGAGGGGAGGCACTGGGGTGGATGGGGAAGAAAAGGAGCTGAGAGGTGTGTCCCTTTAGTCCAAACACTAGGGAGGCAGAGGTAGAGGATCTGAGCTGGAGGTCGGCCTGGACTACATAGTGAGTTCAATTCAAAGACAGCCCATCTACACAGTGAGGCCCTGTTTGAAAATAAAAAATAAAAAAGGAAATAGGCACATTAAATATTAAAGTCCTGTAAAATGTCTCAACTGTCCAAAACTGAAACAAACGAGAAGCAGGTGAGAAACTGCAGTTCTGCACAGCCGCGGGAGAACGCGTCCCAGCTTTAAGGGCAGCATCTGCTGTGGTGGCGCACGCCTTTAATCCCAGCGCTCAGGAGTCAGAGGCAGGTGGATCCCTGTGAACTCAGGGTCAGTCTGGTCTACACAGAGTTCCAAGATGGTCAGGGCCTTGAGCTCTCGCCCCTTCTGCTCCTGCCTGGCCAGTGCTGGGATGACGGAGTGGGACACCATTACCTGTGCGTGCTGGGCAGTGCTGGACCGCAGAGCTCCCCCCCCCCCACTGCCCTAGCTCTTTCTGACCATGACAGTTCCCTGTTCCTTGAAGACAGCTACAGCCAGGGGAGTCAGGGGGTACTTTTGGCCAAACTTTAAATTCAAGTCACACAAACTGATTCATCCTGAGTATCAGGAGAGGGGTGGATCCAGTTTGCCGCGTGGCCGTGGTGGTGCCTGGTATTGCTGCTGACCCTCGTCTTCTGCAGAGGCTCCCACAGCCTCGTTTGGGCCCCGTGTCTCTACATGAACTGTAACCAGCAGGCCCTGGGGAAGATGAAATGAGCTTCGGACCCAGCACAGTGATATAGACCTTTAAGCTGCAGCAATCAGGAAGCTGAGGAAGGATCATGAATTTGAGGCTATGCACTGGCACCACACCCGACAATGGCTGACTTTCCCTCCCTGCTGGTCACACTAGCACTGAATTCACCAGGTAGCTGAGGGGAGCTTGGAACTTCTGCTGCCTCTGCCTCCACCTGCTGAGGGCGGGGCTGGGGCTCTGCGCAAGCCAGGCAAGCACTGCACTGGCTGAGCTCCTCAGCACAATGACGTCACGGGGGCGGCACTGGGGAAGTAGCCAGTGCCAGAGCGGAGGTCCGCAGGCTCAAGGCTGCAGTCCTAGGGTCTGAGACGTGGCACGTCGCAGTGGTTAAAGGGTGTCTGCCCTGCTATCATGAGGACTTCTATTTGGGTCCCAACACCTATGTCAAAGCTAGACACAAAAAAGGAAAATCTGAATAGTGCCCTAGAGAACGACAAAAGGAAGGAAACAGAAAATAAAAAGGTCTACATTCGACCTCCAGTAACACACAAACATCACAGAAAAGGAAAAAGAGAAAAGCAGGAAAAAAAGCCCCGAGTATTGCTAGAGGTTATTGCTCAGAGGAGGGTGGCCTCTGCCCCACCCTGTGTGGTCTGGTCCTCTCCCACTGTGGCCCACTCACAGCCAAGTGAGTTCTTCCGCGCAGTGGCTTTCCACATAGGATGTTTACTTTATCCTGGTCTGCCAGTTCGGGAACAGAGGCTGTGGAGACAAGCTATTATTTGACTTAAGCACACAGCAGGGGTAATTCCCAGGGGTGCGGGGCAGATGTAACTCATCTTGTCCTGGGGCGACTCCAGAGATGGCAGCAGCCAGGAGCCAGGCTGGAAGCATTGCCGCATTGTCACCAGGGGGAGGCCACATTTGCCAGCATCTATAACTACAGTGGGGCTGGCCACCCGCCATAGTCCCCGAGTCTCTGCTCAAGCTCCTCAGATTCCCAAACTCCTGCGTGAGGCCTGAGATAGGGCCAACAAAACATAAAATTTCCCAGTAACCCTTACTCACCAAAGCTCTTTTGTTTGTTTATTTGTTTGTTTGTTTGCTTTCCGAGACAGGGTATAACAGCCCTGGCTGTCCTGGCACTCACTCTGTAGTCCAGGCTGGCCTCAAACTCACAGAGATCCTCCTGCCCCTGCCTCCTGAGTGCTGGGATTAAAGGCGTGCGACACCACTGCCTGACTCTGAGTCTACCTCTATAGTATGAGTTATTTTATTTGCTTTGTGTGTGTGTGTTCATGTGTGAGTGTGCACAAGTGTGCTCATAGGCATGTTTATGTGGACGTCACAAACTTCAGGATTTATTTCTCAGGTGCTTTCCACGCCTCTTTGTGTGTGTGTGCATGTGTGCATGGTGTGAGTGTATGCATGCTGATAGTTGTGTGTATGTGCACATGTGTGTGGGTGCTCATGCATGGGGAGGCAGGGGCAGCCCAGAGCTCTGCAGCATGGATGATCCTGCTAGTCAGCTTGCTCTGAGGATCTCCTCTGTGTCTGACTCCTGAGACTGGAATTACTGAAAGCCACCAGGCTCACCCCCATCCATGGGCTGCTGGGATCTGAACCCTTGTCCTCAAGCTTGTATTACAAATGCTGTCAACTGCTGAGCCATCTCCCAGGCTCTTTGGTGTGTGTGTGTGTGTGTGTGTGTGTGTGTGTGAGAGAGAGAGAGAGAGAGAGAGAGAGAGAGAGAGAGAGAGAGAGAGGGAGAGCAGGCACACATATGCTTGGAGGTCAGAAGACAACTTTCCCCTACTTGGATCTCTCCTTCCGCTGTGGGCTCTAGGGAATGAACTCAGGTTCTCATGTTTTCCTCCACTTTCATCGCAGAGCTGGGTTTCTATCACGGTTAGGAGAAGTGCTCCCTGGAGCACTGCGAGACCTCAGGAAACTCATTTGCTGGGACTATACTTGCCCAGCCCCCCACCCTTACACTCACCATGGCGAAGCCAGAGAGGAGGGCGGAGGTCCTGCTGGAGGCTTTCAGCTTGGCCCTGCTCAGGTACAGCTTCCTCCAGGACAGCGCCTGCACTGAATGGTGGTTGGAGGTGACCAGTTCCAGGTAGCTGCGCCGGACCCAGTCACGGTAATCCATGCCCTTGTGGCCCGGCTCAGGGCAGGCAGGGGTGGAGGGGTCCATGGGCACATTCAGCTCTGCACTCATGGTGGGAACCAGGCTGGAGGAGGGAAGACAGGTCATGTTAGAGCATCTGAGGTGGTTCTTGTGCAAAACCCAGAGTCTGAGGCCTTTTGTGGTTTTTGTTTTTTAAATATATATTACTACTTCTTATTCCAAGTGGGAAGGACCCACTTTTTTAAAAATGTATTTTTAATGTATTGTGCCCGCATGAGGGTGTCGGGTACCCCAGAACTAGAGTTACAGACAGTTGTGGGTTGCCATGTGGTACTATTTCCTATCTGTGTGTGCGAGCCTTTGTCAGTGTATGTGCACATGTGTGTGGTGCATGTGCCTGTACACGCGTGGAGCCAGCAGACAGCAGTGCCTGTCCTTCTCTAGCACTCTGCCTATTCTTTGGGGGTCTCTTTTTGAATTTAGGGGTCACCATCTCTCCGCAAAGTTGGAATTCAGCAAGCGCCAGTGTTCCTTCTGGTTCTGCCCTCCTCAGACAGACACAGGATACATGGTTACAGACATAGAGAGGATGCCCAGCGTGTCAGGCTGATGTGGGGACATGGCCTCCATTCCTCACGGCTGAGCACCAAGCATTCTTAATGGCTGGAACCTCTCACCAGCCCCAGACTTTGTTTAAGATTTATTTGTTAGCTTGGCGGTGGTGTCACAAACCTTTAATCCCAGCACTGGGGAGGCAGAGGCAGACGGATGGCAGAGTTTGAGGCCAGCCTGGGCTACAGAGTGAGTTCCAGGACAGCCAGGGCTACACAGAGACCCCTGCCTCAAAAAGCCAAAACCAACCAAGCAACAAACAAACAAAAAAACCTGTTTTCTTCATTTTATTTATATGAGTGTTTTCTTTCAGGCATGTGTGTGTACACACATGTGCCTGGTGCCAGCGGAGGACACTGGAGCCACAGACCTGGAGAAACAGATGACTGTGAGACATGTGTGGCGGGGGCACTGAATGGTCCTCAGGACAAGCAGGAAAAGCTCTGAATCCCTGAGCCCTCTCTCCAGACCCTGGTCTAAATGCTTTCACTATATTTTAATTTGTGATTGTGTCACGAACACAAACATTCACCTGACACAGCATGCATCTGAAGGCCAGAGGACAGCATGTAGGAGTTGGTTCTCTCCTTCCACCACGTGGCTCTCTGGGACCAAACCTCAGTCGTCACAATTGCCAGCATCTTGCTAGCCCTGCAAAGAGCCAAAATCTCAATTCTCTGATGTGGGTTCCCCTCTGTATGATGTGAATACCATTGGTGAATAAAGAAGCTGCTTTGGACCTATAGCAGCACAGAACTTAGCTAGGTGGGGAAAACTAAACTGAATGCTGGGAGAAAGGGCGGAGTCAGAGAGAAGTTACGTGGCCCTGCCGAAGATAGATGCCAGAACTTTTCCTGGTAAGCCACAGCCATGTGGCGATACACAAATTAATGGAGATGGGTTAAATTAAGATATAAGTGTTAGCCAATAAGAAGCTAGAGCTAATGGGCCAAGTAGTGTTTTAAATAATATAGTTTCTCTGTGATAATTTTGGGGTTGAGCAGCCAGAAACCGCGGCCTTTCAACAACAAACTGGCACTCCAACGTGTGCTATTTAAATCCACATAAAACCTGAGAGGGCTTGGAAAAGAATTCTAGACACTAAAAAACAAAGTTTAGCTGAATTTATTTTCCTGAATGGGCTTTGCTAGGTGGCGGCACACTGCAGCTCCTTTACAAGAGGTTTTCCTGATTCAGTGGTAGCAGAAAAAGTCACAGTTTTGAAATGCTGGCTTTCTGGGCTGTGCTGCCAGCACAAACTCTGACTCTTTCTGGAGGTCTGGCTATGGAGCATTTAAATGGGGTTTATGAAGAGAGTGCTACAACTTGCTTAATGGCAACATAGACTGGCTGTGTGCCTAAAACTGGGGCTGTGAGCATGGCTCTCAGAGGGAGCAAACAGCTCCGCCATGCTGGACTGGGTGGGGCAAGCAGACAGTGCCATATTTCCTCTAGCAATGGTGCCACTTAAGTTCATAAGAAGGGCTTAGCATTTTAAGAAGCACTTCTGGTCAGAAAATAATTACAAATGCACAATAAAGACAAATTCAGATGGAAAAGACCTCTAAATGGGTCACAGTGTTGGATAAATGTACATAGGCTTGGGAGAGAGAAGAAAAAGAGTATAAATAGTTATAAAAAGGAGTAAATGGTTTAAAAAAAGGTAAAGTCTTTAAAGAGACAGAGTACAGACAGACATAAAGGAATAAATATAATAAAATAAATATTAAAAAGTAAAAACAAGCCACGTAAAAATGGTAAATTCACAGAGAGTCTGGATTATGTACACTATTGTATTTTCTTTTTCTTTCTTTTTTTTTTTTTTTTACTGTGAAGGAGCTGAGTACAGAGAGACATTTCATTATATGGCTGCTAAGCTAAACCAGCATGTATATTCTAAAGGTATCATGACTTCCAAAATTGGGTCTAAGGTTCTGCTTTTGTTTCCACAGAAGATGAGAACCTGTAGAATCCTTCCAGACTAATGTAGTTTGATGGTCCAAGAGCCCCCCCCCCAGAAGATCACTGTGAACACCCCCAAAAATACTACGCCCAATAAACAGTAGGAAGTAGTTTAGAGAGAACTATGCCCAGATTCCCTAAATGATTGTTTATAATTATTTTTTACATTTATAGGAGGATATGATATAGATATGAATAATTTGCATTGGTACAGATTTGGTTTATTGATACAAATTTATGGTAAATTCTGTTATACTGTGTATATGTATTGCTGGTCTTGATTAATAAATCATGTTTGTGTAGCTCATTTAAAAATGTAATGTATAATTAAGAAATATAGGTTAATAGTTATCTATAATAGTCAAGCCTGTAGTCATGTTAGATTTTCTAGATGTACAGAGATGTATTTCAGATGGATAAGGATTCTTCAAATCTTTCAAAGACTACAGAATATGGCATTTAAAATGTCTTAAGAATTTAGAACTTTTCGTGACAGTGAGATACATCTGCTCCTGGGAGCACCAACTACTTCAAGAGGAAAATGGGCATCGAAGAGGCTCTTCATGGAGTTTGCTAGCCATTTGGGCAACAAACTGCTCTTGCCTGAACTACCTAACTGGACATGAAGAACCCGCAGAGAGATGACTGCTGAACTTGCCTAAAGGCGAGATGATCCTGTGGAGTCCCTGCTTCATGAAAGAGTCTGCTAGACATCCTACAGGACATAGAAGAAGTGACTGACAAACTGTCAATATAGGCAGAACTGTCTTTGATATTTCCTGCTTCATGGAAAAGTCTGCGGATACTATGGGCCTGAAAGCTGAAGATGGATCCCCAAAGGTACAGAAGAACCTTGGGTGACTGTCCAGGCAGCGAGATGTCTCTGTCAATTCTAGAGTTTTGGAAGTTATTTACAATGCACTTCCTGTTTACTTAGGTAATATTATATCCTTCTGGAGTCTTTGATGGAGTTGAAGAATTTATAATTATAATTATAGTTTTACTTAGTTATGATAAATAATAAAATAGATATAAATATTCTAACTGTAATTCTTGCTTGGTAACTGTTTTGTTATATGTAATCTTACTGTTAAAATTAAAACCTTCCTTTTTATTTAAACAGAAAAGGGGAGGTGATGTGAGATTCCCCTTTGTATACTGTGAATACCATTGATTAATAAAGAAATTGCTTTGGATCTATAGCAAGGCAGAACTTAGCTAAGCAGGGGAAAAACTAAACTGAATACTGGGAGGAAGAAAGCGGGGTTTAGAAGAAGCCAGGGAGCTACTGCCAGAAACAGACTTGCTGAAACCTTGCTGGTAGGCCACAACCTTGTGGTGATGTACAGATTAAAGGAGATAGGTTAAATTAATATGTAAGAGTTAGCCAATAAGAAGCTAGAGCTAATGGGCCAAGCAGTAATTCAATTAATATAGTTTCTGTGTGGTTATTTGGGGGCAGAGCTGCAGGAACAAACAAGCGGCCTCCTACAACAATACTTTTGAGACAGTGATGAGGCAAAGATGATATGATCCTCTGCTTCCACCACCAACCAATCAAAGGCCTGCGTGCCATCGCTCTGTTAGACAGCATCAAGCAGGAAACCCAGGGCCTCTGGTGTGTCAGGTGGACACCTACCAACTGAGCTGCATCACCAGCACCTGTATACCAAACCCTAGCCAGGTGTGGGGGTGCACACCTTTAGTCCCAGCACTTAGGAGGCAGAGGCAGGAGGATCTCTGAGTTTAAGGATAACCTGGTCTACAGAGTGAGTTCCAGGACAGCCAGGACCACATAAAAAAAACTCTCACGAAACAAAACAAAAAACCTCAAACCTGCAATGTGTGCATATGTGTGTGTTTGTGTATTTGTTAGCATGTGCAAACCTATAATGTGTACATATGTGTGTGTTTGTGTATTTGTTAGCATGTGCAGAAGTGAATGAGCATGATAACATATGTACAGAAGCCAGAGTTTACACTGGGAGTCTACAATCACTCTTTGGCAATCCTCCTGCCTCTGCCTCCCCAGCACGGGGTTTACAGGTACATCTGCCTGCACAGCTTTACATGGGTGGACTAGACTCAGGCCTTCATGCTTGATGAACATGGCAAACACTTTATGACTGAGCCGTGTCCCCAGCCCTGTGTTGTTTTGAGATAATGACTCACTATAAGCTGGCCTCAGACTCATGACCCTGTCTCAGCATCTTGAGTGTTGGAATTCTAGGCCTACACCACTTAGCTTGGCTTCCAAGTCCAAAGGCAGAGGCATGGGGTCTAAAGGTAGCTTGGGTTTGGGGCCCTGGACTCTAAGGGAGTCTGCAAGATAGAACACAGGGCCCTCTGCAGAGAAGGGGGTTAGCACGCAATGCCAGGCACCTCCATGGCCATGCTGCTGCTCTGTGAAGTTGGATCCACCTCGCTCCTGACACTCAGGACAGAGTGTATTTGTGTGACTAGAATTTAAAGTTTGGCAGAAAGTACCCACTGACTCCCCTGACTGCTGCTGTCTTCAAGGAATGGGGAACTGTCACACTGAGAGCGAGCTAGGGGTCGGCAGTGGGGAAGGGGCTCAGTGGTAGAGTGCTGCTGCCTGGAGTGTGCATCGCTTACTGGTAGATTCTACACAAATACTCTACCCCTAAGCTATGCCTTTGTCCTCACTGGGGCACTCTAGGTACAAGTTCAACGACTGCCACACCCCAGCCCCTCACTGGGGAATTCTAGGCAGGGGCTCCACCACTGAGCCACACCCCAGCCCCTCACTGGGGGATTCTAGGAAGGAGCTCTACCACTGAGCCACACCCCAGCCCCTCACTGGGGAATTCTAGGCAGGGGCTCTACCACTGAGCCACACCCCAGCCCCTCACTGGGGGATTCTAGGCAGGAGCTCTACCACTGAGCCACACCCCAGCCCCTCACTGGGGGATTCTAGGCAGGGGCTCTACCATTGAGCCACACCCCAGCCCCTCACTGGGGGATTCTAGGGAGGAGCTCTACCACTGAGCCACACCCCAGCCCCTCACTGGGGGATTCTAGGCAGGTGCTTTAGCTCTGGGCCACACCCCCGCCCCTCACTGAGGGGTTCTAGGCAGCATGAGTTAAAGTTTCTGCTCAAACTCTCCCCACTACTTCCCTCGTTTGCTAGCACGTGCATCTGTGTATCGTGTGCATACATGGTGCCCATGGAGGCCAGAAGAGGCCAGATGGCCAGGAGCTGCAATATGGGTGTTGAAAGTCAACCCAAGTCCTCTGGAAGAGCAGCCAGTGCTCTTTACTGAACCATCTCTCCAGCCCCTTCTGCTCTTTTTTACTTTTTGTTTTAAACCTTTTATTTTGAGACAGTTTTGATAAGTTACTCAGGTTGATCCTCCTGCCTCAACTTCTGTGACACATGAATTGCAGGCCTGTCTACCAGACCCAGCTACTTGCTGGATGCTTGAACACAATGTCCCTGAAGGCCCAAAGCTGTTTGCAATGTGAGGGTGTGGTATTTCTCGGCAGTTACTAGCTTCTCAAATCTAATCTTAAACATGGTAAGTCACCTCCAAAATCTATAGCGACTTTCTAAATTGAGTCACACCCAGGCTGCAAGAGAAGCCTTTATTAGCAAAAGGAAAAAATGAGAGTGGGTTGAGGCAGAAAGATATAAAGTTGATGGCCATGCTATGAGCTATGGTTGTGTG